TTTGAAATAACGATAAGAGAAGAGCAGCACAGACCTTGTCCATCATAAATGGATTTGGGACTGCAACCCTGAGGTCTTGGGGCTGCTTTTTAGCATTCAGTAAACAGCTAGTTTGCAGTATTCAGCTCACAAAATGCAGGTTGATAGCAAGCACCTCGGATGATCTCTTAGCAGAAAATTAACCTCATCTGCCAGCAAACCTTGCTCCCTGGCCTGTGCCGAGCATCAGATCTCAATCAAAACCTAGGAGAGACAAAGAATCTGTGGCAGGGGATCATTGTGGAACTCTGTCTGTTGGGGTGGACCTGTCTTGGCTTCCCAGCCACACACACTGACTGCGTTACAGCCGCTGCCATATTGACAGCAGCAGCGATGCTGAAAGCTGGGAGGGCTCCAAGGCTGCACAGAGCAGCTCTGTGTCAACTCCAATCCTTTCTGCCTCCCTGCTCCACACTAACAGCATCCTCTCCAACGCACACACAGAGGCACAACACGCTTCTTTACCTGGAGCTGCTCCTGGGCATGGCGCCATGTTTCCTCAGTGAACAATTACTATATTGTTACAAAGTGCTTTAAAGGGGAAATTCTTCCCTTCGATTCCTGTCTGCCCCCTCAGACTGGAGCCTCCCACCCTGCTTTGCTGTTGGTTTTTTGTGTCCTACCTGCCTGGAGGAACTGGGGAGGGAGCGTGGAGCACAGGCGGGGGCCAGGAGCCATCTCGCAGAGGAAGCATCTGTTCTGCCATGGAATTGCAATGCCCAAGAGCCACTAACATGTCCAGGAGACGCTTTTATCATTGACACAAGAGAGAATTTAAATAGCTGCCATGCTCTCGAGCTAAGCCAGAGACAGAACTGTAGATCACACTTTATATAACTCGTTTTTATTTTTAAACATATTCTTTCATTTTCAAGGGGAGTTTGACTCGGTGGGTGTCTCCTATCTCCTTGTTAGCACATGTGAGGTGGCTTCTTTGATCAACCCACCATCCAGTACATCAGCTGCCTCTTTTCCTCGCCTTTACCTGAAAAGCAAGCTCCCCTTCTTTCACCTTTCAGGATTTCCTCCCTGCCTGGGCTGGTGTGGAGAATGACTTGAGGTTTAAGGTGAATGGATAAATTAACCCTTTGAAAGCATTCTGAGCTGCATCTGTGGATATCTTCTAGTGCTACTGGAGATCTTTTTTAAGAGGGGGATCTGTTCTGATGGTTCTTCACAAGTAAGAGAAGCGTGTGGTTTGTTTTGCAGTTTAGCAAGTGATCTGTGTAAGTCCTAATTCCTTCCTTCCAAGTAAATCATCTTGTGCTGGACTAAAGTGTTTTCTCCTGGACACTCAGATTAGCCATCAGGCAGCCTTGGCACAGTGAGCAGAGTTAGTTGTCAGTTACTAATGATTTCTTTCCAGATTAAAGTGCAAACAGGGGTGGAGAACAGAAAGCTCTGAAGATAATTAATTACTAATTTGAATTCCCTTGGGGTCGGGCCCAATAAAGGTACCAGTCTGCATTCTGGATACATTCTGACTGACCATGGAGGAGATCAAATGACACTTCATGTCACAAGAGAGTTGCTCAGAGTGTCACTCTAGGTCAACGGTGGTGGTTCCTTCCAGTCCTCCAGCAAAAGACCAAATACCCCTTGGAATGCAGCAGAAGGGGACTGTGGCTGCAGGTTTGTCACTGCGCTAAAGCTAAAGACAGGCTTTGCAGCTTTGCAGAATGTAACCCATCTGAATTCCCAAATCCAGGACTACTGTGAGAGGCAGCTGGTCTTGTGTAACTGGCAATTTCCAGTCACAGAGCCTACATGGAATTAGAGAGTGGTTTGGATTGGAAGGGACCCTAAAGCTCATCTTGTTCCAAGACCCTGCTGTGGGCAGGGACACTTTCCATTACCCCAGGTTGCTGAACATATTCTGGAGAGATCTCAGAGGCAACAGAATAGTTTTCTTGGCACTATGGAAAATCCTCTTGGACTAGCAGGTTGTGAAAGCACACCCCTCGAATGAGCTCCTTGCAGCACTGCACCAGAAAAGAGACATTCTGCCATGGACCCAAGAGAAGTCACAAAGTAAGAGCAAACACAATGCAAAGAAGTTCAAAGCTCTTGTGGCAGGGATCGCTGTAAATATGACAAGGCTACAAAGTTGAAAATGAGAAGTGGAAGCGACAGTGCCAGGCTCAGTGTGATGTCTCGTTAAACAAAAAATAATGGCATTCCAGAGCTGCAGCAGACCCCCAAGGACACAGAACAAGAATGAAAAGATAGGGAGAAGTCTGCTTATATGTCAGGGTGAGGGGGTTTATTTGAGGCAAACCCACGGCCAAGTAAATGAGCCTGTCAATGTTAATATCCTCTGATCTTCCAGCCCAGAGAAGGGTTGCCCACCCTAGGAGGAGCATCCCTGTACCTGGAGAGATAAAAGCCATATAACCTGTCTTCAGACCACATAATTATATCTCTCATTTGAGTGGCAGAAATGGGCATCAGTTGAAGCTGGCAGAGCTGTTTGGTCTGGGAGAAGTTTTTGGGTAAAAACCATTCAAGTGATGATCAGTGGTCAAAACACATGGAATAGGGGGGGAGGCACTGAAAACAATACGGAGGATGAAAAGAACCCTGGAGGGGGAGAAGATTAACATCCAGGGAACAGGGTGGCAGATTCCCTTCCTTCCTCCCAAGTGACAGCCAACACACCCACTGCTGCACATGTTTACTGCTTGTGTGTTTGCTGTTAGCAGGTCAGGAGGAAATTGCTGTAGAGTAATTTTTGGCGAGATTTAAAATTTTGGATGGGATTCAAGCCTAATACCAAAATGAGGGGTTTTTTTATTAAAAGCATTTAAATAGAAGCTACAGAGTAGTCAGAAGCAGGGGGGCTATTTTAGAAGGAATTTGCTATAAACCTACTGCTCAGAAGCTTTCTAAAATATTACACTATAAAAACCCCATAATTCTCTTTATCTGCAATTTAATTACATTTCCCATAGTGCCTGTGTCAGAACAGTTCACTTATTCTTGTTCTCTATTAACTCACACCTGCCCCAGGAAATTTTTAGAAGAAAAAAATGTTGATATTTAGAGTCATTTGTGTTGCTCAGGATCTCAGGATCTCACTGAGTACATCTAATGATGTACTAGAAAAAATGGAATTTGGGGGACTCATACTGTGATGGCTGTGAGATTGCGATATATAAAACTGGTGTAAAAGCAGGGGGAGGAGTGGGAGCACTTGTGTGATCCATTGACCTATCCCATCCAGAATTAGTGGATCAAAGTTTTTAATCTGTTAGGGACTGCAGCAAAGTCTCAAAGTATCTGAATAATGGACCAGAATTATCCAGAGCTCTGTTGATTGAACATTTTGCTGAACTCCTCCACCCCACAATGTCTGTGGTGTAAATGAGATCTGAGGGATGTCCTGGAAGTATTATGAAAATATTGTCACTCTTGACACCCTGGTGCCAGGTTCTCTCTGGTGCCCAGAGAGAACCTGGGAGCATGGAAATAACATATTAAAATAAAAATGACATGTTAGAGATTAAACCCTTGGTGATGTTGTGTTAAATTTGGCTGGGGTTTGGGGCAAGGGCTGCAGCTGACTGTTATTTAACTTGAACAAACCAGCCTGTGGGAGCAGAGGCATAAGATGAACCTCAACCTTTGACTGTGGTTTAGAGGAGATTTAGCCAGCCACAGCATTTTTTCAGTGCTTGTCTTCTGATAATTGGAGACATGATTAATCCCAGTCAGGAATGACCTGGGTTTTGAGATGGGAGGATGAGAACAAGGCAAATATTTCCTTGCTACATTGAGCTGTCAAGGAGGGGATCCAAGCTGATGGAGACCTGAGACCATTGCTGCAGTGCTGCTAATTCCTGTGGTTTTTGTAGGAGGTTTTGCAGGACTCTCTCTTTCCCCAGATGTGGTGCCTGGTGATAATGTTCTATCTCAAGCCATGCTTCCTGCTAGTAGCACCAGGATGCCAAGGCCAGCAGTGTTTTAGCAGAGAGGAAGGTGACTACAAATTTCCAGCTTATTTAATTGCAGAAGACTTTTTTATTTTTTAATTTATTTTTATTCTTTTAGTCAATCAACTTTGTCAGGATCAAAAAAGCAATGGATGCCCCATGGCTTGAGCTCTCAGTGAGCCAGTAACCCCTGTCAGTGCCTATGCAGCCTGTGTGACACCGAGATGTTGTCACCAATGGTGGAGCTGAGCCCAGAGCTGGGGGGCTGTGCTGCAGCCCCCTCCATGTCTGTGCCCCGGGTTAGGTTGTTGTTAGAGTCCCTGGGGTGCACAGGACATCCCACACACATCCTCTGGAGGATGGGGGCAGGTGCAGGAGAAAAAAAAGGGATTGGAGTTTAAAGGGTGGGGTGAGGGCACCAAGGGAGGTTGCAGGGAGTGAGCAGGACTGCACAAACCAGGTGAGACAACGGGTCTGTCATATCACTGATTTGCCAGGTGGATTTTTCCTTCTGTCATCCCATGCCCAGCAATAAGGTCCTCCTTCACCTTGTGCCAAAATCTTATTTGGCCCTGCTGACACCTGGGCTCCTTAATTAAACTCTCCCACCCATTCTGTCTGTGGCAACTCCTGGTGATCTGCGATCTGAGAGAGCATCAACCTCCCTGAAACCTCTGAGGCGCCGATTAAAACGACGCAGGCGGGTGCTTTATTCCAACATACCGAGGGTGACAACGGCGAGCGCTTTCGCAGGCATCCCCCCTCCCCGCCCCCAGATGCTCCCCACCAGCCTCTGGCATCCGCCGCCCGTGCGCGGCGGGGCCCCATCCCCGCGGGGGGACAAGCTGGGGCTGTGCTGCCAGGTGAGTGAGGAGGGGATGCGGCGGAGCGTGAGAATGCAGGGGGCTCCTCGGCAGAGCCGCCGCTGAGCGCTGCGAGCCGGCTGCGCAGCCGGGCTGGGGCTGCTGGAGGGTTTGGCTGGATGGGGGAGCGGCTCTGAGCGGCGCGGCTGCTGCTGCTGCCTGGACAGAGGTGGGGAGAGGAGGGGTGTCGAGGTGTGACTCTCGCCCCGGTCAGGGGGCTGTCTCTGAAGAAGACGCTCTGCTCTCTCCCCAGAGCCTCTCTGACCACGCTGTCGGCACAGACCCACCAGCAGAGAGGACAGGTCAAAGGCAGTGAGTATCTTTATCTCTGTGTCTGTCTGTCCGAACTGCCTCTGTGATTGCTTTTTTCTGGCTTTCTCTGCATGTGAATGGATGGATGGCCCTAATCTCCTGAAGCCCCTGAGATCTCACAGCTTGGGTTTGTTGTTTTTTGTTTTGTTTTGGTTTGGTTTTTTTTTAACCTCTGTGCTGCTATTTTTTTCTATTGGGATGGCTTCTTTATCTTTGCTCAGGTGGTTTGATAACCTGAATGTCCTAGTCACAGCCCTCCCTTTCTGTCTCCCAAGGAGAAACCCCCAAAACACATCCATGATGAGACTGGCAATTCTCCTTGACCAGGGTCCTTTCATAGGAGGGGGAGGCAGGATGAATGATGGAGTGGGAGGTTAAACCCCTCATCAGGACCCCTGTTGCGATGCCAGACATTACAGATTATATTTTAAAGTAATACCTCTTTGGCTTTATTTGCAAGGAAATATTTGTGGGTATGTCAGCTGAGCAGTGGGATTGCCTTCATGGGAAATGTAGGTCTCAGCATCTGTGAAGTCAGACAGACTTTGGGATTGCAGGGAAGTTGGGTGCTGCTCAGCAGCGCAGGTGGTTGCTGAGGGGGCTGACGAGTGGGTGGGAGTGGGGGTGAGCAAAAGGCTGTTTCATAACAGTACCCCAAAAATCGGGCTGCTAAAGGAGGCTGTGAGAGAGAGGTCACTCAGCTCTGCTTCTAGCTGTAGATTTGGAGCAGCAGTGGGAAAGAGGAGCAGGGGTTGCTGGACTCTAGGAAACTGTGTGCTGTGGCCCCACATGTGGGTGAGGCTGTTAATGAGGAAATTTAAAGGGGTTTAAGGAATTACAAGGATTGATTTCAGTTAAAGCGCATCGAAGCAGCTGGTCAGGGTAGGGATTAAGAGAATGCACTCAGTGGCATGTAGTGCAATCCCAGTTCCATTAATTTAGTGGGGAAGAGGCTTTGTGCATTTTTAATGTAATCAGGTTTTAAGAGGGATGTTGTGTTGGGCAGCCCAAGCTCCATGATCTTCCCAAGCCCCAGCAGAGCAGGGTCCTGACTCCATGCACACCCTCTCCACTCTCATCAGTTCCTTTGTCTCCTCCTTAGTTGTTCTCAGTGGGCAAGAGAACAAGACATGGAGGTTACCTGGAGCTTGGCCCTGTTCTGTCACATCAGAAACCTTTACTCTGTGCTCACTGTACAGTTCTGCTGTCTGTCTCCTTGGTCTCCTGGCTGGTGGATCTCACCTTCACGCTCTGTGAGATTTGTTCAACCAGTTGCCTGTATGCCAAGGCTCGTGGGCACCCCACCATCCCCAGTGTCCCTCTCTTCCTTCCTCCTTCCCTCCCCTTTGCAAACTGTACATCTCCTTGGTGTCTCCCCAAAGGCTCCCACCACCCTAAAGAGGAGTTGCTTGCCTTGAGTCATTTTTGTGTGAGTGCTTGAGCCTGTGATGGTGAAAGGACTAGCACCTGCAGATGCATGAAGTCCTCCTGTTACTTTATTTGCAGTGCCAGCTTTTCCATGATGCCTGGCCAGTAACACCAGCCATGACCTGGAGGGACAGGGACAAGAGGTAGTTTGGCCTTCTTAGCGAGGTCAGCCCGGAGCTCTGCCCGTTGAGGAGAGACCTTCAGAGGTGTTGAATGATGAGTGCGATAATGCCAACTCCTGCTGCTCTGTGGTGAACTGTGTCGCCAAACTCAAATCTCTTTAGACCTGAAGCTGGACTTAGCCCACGGTCCTGGTCTTAGAAGGAAATGCTGTCTCCTCTGTGATCATCCCTCAACTCTGAACATCTTCCATTGAAAAACTGACCACCTGCGCTAGGAGGCAAGGATCAAATGGGTTGAGAACAGCTGGCCCTCCTTGTTTTTGGCAAAGAGGATTCTTTGATATATTTTTAAGTGCCAGAACATGAGACAGTAAATCCCTCCTCCCTGCACTTCTGCCTCCTGCAAACAGCCCAGACTGCAGTCCAAGCCAGCCAGCTAAAGGGTTAACCATAACCAGATGCCTGAATGGCTGCCTTACTGATCCCACGGAGGTAACTGGAAAGACACAATGTATCCTTCACCCCTGCCCATCCTGTCACTGTCTATCTTGTCCAGCAAGCCCTTCAGCTCCTTGCAATGTCCCCTCTTCCCTCCTGCCCTTCCTCTGCCTCTCCACCTCCTGTGGACCCAGTTTCTTTCCCTCTCTTTCTGCTGTGTCCTGTCTTGGAAGTCCTCACCAAGAGAAGGGTGTTCCATGAGAGACAGACAAACTCCTTGCCCGTGGTGCAGTTTCTCTGCCCCCCATACACTCTGATTCCCTGCTGCAGTCCCTTAATCTTAGGCATCAGAGGGAATTCTGAGCAGCACTGCAGTAATGTGTGTCACACCTCTTGCTGGGAAATTCGTGAGCTTGCTAGAGCAAACAGAGCAGGGAAGAGAAAGGCTGGAGGTAGGAGGCATCAGGAAAGGTACCAGGAGGATCCCATAGGAGATTCGGCGTCTGTTTGAGCACAGCAGGTCCAGCATCCTCAGCTGGAAATGTGACACTCTCTGTGCTGACGTCTGGGGTTTATGGAGCGCAGCATCCCCAGCCCATGGCCGTGGGTCCACAGTTGGGGGCTGTGCAACAATTCCTGCAAGGGAAGATCTGGTTTTTGTGCCTGTTAAATGCTGCAAGCTGCCTGTGCTGCACCGGGGAGACACTCGATGCATTTAATTAACATTTAATTTGCTTTAAGATTACATTAAAATGTGCAATAATAGAAGCTCTCCAAAGGGCGGGAGGAGAAGGGGGAAACAGGCATGCTACAGATTGGCTCAGGTGCTGGTGCTGAAGTGTTCTGCAAGAATTACATATAGAAGGGAAAAAATCCTGTACTCCTGCAGCCACAGAAACTATCAGCATCTGTTTGGCAGCTGGGCTTGGAAAAGGGCTTCCTCCAGCCCAAAAGTAGGTCCAGCAGCTGAGAAGTGGAGACTGAGTCACTAAATCTTCCTCCCATGGTCCAGAGAAGAGAATGGTCTGATTTGATTTCCAGGGAATCTGGTAGAAGAGATGCGCTTGGGATGGAGAGGCAAATCACAGGCTCTGCCCTCCTAGAGCCCATGGAAACCTATTACCAGCCCCTTTATATTTTGGACAGGAGATGGTGCCAGTCCTGTATGATGCACGTGTGTGTTCCATTTCCCTCTCCCTTTGTATTCCTCCCCATCCCGGGGTTATGTAATCAAGGATGCTGCGGCTGTTGTCCCAGGAAGGGGCTGGCAAGGACGTGAGGGGCTGGCGGAGGATCGAAGGCTCTGGGGCTGGTTTGAAATTCAGAGGAAAAAAAGCAATAAAGCCATTTTCTGCCTGGGTAAGCGCGTCAGGAAAGAAGCAGTTTTATCCTGCTTATGTAACCCTGAGCCTAAAGAAGCTGCTTGGGATTGATCCTGGCCAGGGACTCACGGCTCTGCAGCACAGGCTCACCTTGCAGGTGTCTTACTCCCACTCTTCTTCCTCCAGCCCCCTCCCATCCTCCAGCCCTGGTATTTGTGGTGTTTCTGGTGCTGCTAGAACAGGGTGACTGATTTCTTGTATTGCTGCCCATTGCTCTCCTCCCACACCTGACCAGAGCAGGACTTTCCAAGAAACCATCCCAAAACGCAGCCTTTAAAAGCCTTTCTGCCCAGTCAGAGCAGCTGAATGACTGGTGTGGGTGAGCCTTCAGCTGTTCTGGTGCTGTGTCTATCCTTGGCTTCTGCCTGGACATGTCTTAGTATCACTCCCACAGATGAGGGAGCCAAGGACACAGGTCTCATGAGGCACAGTGCCACTGAGGTTTTTTGCGTTAGTGGTTGTTGGGTTTTTTTTTGGTTTTGTTTTTTTTTTTTTGCCACTCTGGATAGACTTATAATCATCATCTTCTTTGGTTTTCCCCTGCTAACACCCCTGCTCCCCCACATCGACCACAGGAACAGAGGGATGAGGACTCGCCTGGGCTGCCTGTCTCACAAATCAGACTCATATAATGATTTCACAGCTATTCTTCCGGACAAGCCCAACCGGGCTTTGAAGTGAGTATAGCTGCAGCATCCCACCCCAACCCCACCTCTGTCCTTCCCCTCCCTGCCCACCACCCCCTCCAGTATTGTCTTCCTTTTGTTGTACTTTGTATAGCAGCGACCAGTTCTTTTAGCCACAGGGAAGGACAACAAAACGGCACTGACACAGCAGGAACAGCCTCAGGAAACAGCTGGATCATTGATACAAGTTCTCCTGTGAGACAGGACACCTGCAGAGTCTCCACTGCTGTAGGTGGGACATGTCTGCACTTACTTGAGGATGTAATTTACACCTCTGTCATCACAAATCGAAGCCTGAGTAGTTGGCTTGGTATAAGAGATGACCCGCAATTTCAGGTCACAATCATCTTCACCTGAGCCTTGCTATCAAACACTGCCAAAATTAGGGGGATAGTTTGTACAGTGCTTAAGGCTGATGATTCAGAACATCCAGAGTCCTGATTTGAGATGACTGAGATGGGACTCATCTGATCACAAGTCACTGCTTATACCTGAGCTAAGATCTAATCTTCCCCCAAAAGGCAAGCAAGAGAAATAAACATTTCTGCAGCAGTGGGTTTCATTTCACTTGACTTTTGATGTTTACAATGTAAATGTCTGCACCTGAGCTTGTTCAATGGGCCTCTGCTTAGAGTCAATAAGGGAAAATTGGTCCCTTTTCAAGTGTGATTCTCCTGGTTTGTTTTACCTGACTATCTGGGGGTGTGAGATGAACTGAGCTGAGTCTCTGCAAGTCCCTTAGTATTTCCTCACTGATTCTAAAGTAAACCCAGGGTAGCGTGGCTGACCTGGAGACCTGTACATTGTAGACCTCCAAAGTTAGGTGAGAAGACTTCCAGCCTTCCTTGGTGTCCTCATCCAACAGCTCCAGAGGGGATCAGCAGCCATGGGTTGCCTGTAACTTACCTCTTCCTTTCTTTACAGAAGACTGTCAACAGAAGAAGCAACAAGATGGGCAGACTCTTTTGATGTCCTTTTGTCCCATAAATGTGAGTAGAGATCAAATTCTACACGTTTGTTTTTGGTTTTTTTTTTCCTGTTGTACCCTTAATACCTGTTGTAGTCAGGGCAAAGTATGTGTTGCATAGCACGGGAAGGGTGCCTTGGACACCTGCTCACTGCCCAGTGGTCACCATGCTTTTTAGGCAGGACTTGCCCTCTGTTTAAAAGGTTTTTGTGTGTTTCTTTCCTGGCTTTGCTCCTGCCTGGAAACCCACAACAGCTAAAGTCAGCAGCCTGAGCCTTCTCCTGCCCCTGGGGATGTACTGGAGGCAGGACCCTGAGGCTGCAACCCTGCATGTGCCTTTGGGTCCAGGCACACAGCAGGTTCTCAGCTCACTAAATCCCCCCGAGATCCACGGCTCCAGTTTGTTCCCATCTCCCTCCAGCTGCTCTCTGAGCCACTGTGCAGCCACACTCTGTGGAAGCACAGCCTTTGCTGGAAGCACCACGACACAACACCCCGTGTGGTTCAGTAACCTTGAACAACTCGCTCTGTCGCAGAGAAATCATCCATGGTCGCCCTGAGCAGAATCTAATTTACAGTTATCAATGCAGACCTGAAAATTTCCCATCCAGAAAACTCATGCCAGCCTATAATCAGCGCACCTCACTCCGTTCAACAGATCAATTGTATCAGTTCTGTTCAGCAAATATGATTCTGCTTTGCCAATATTTTCATGCTGAGAAATTATAAACAAGAAAGAGAAGTTCACAGTATGGGCTCATTCATGTGTTTCTATTGGAGAGTAAAACCCGAGCAAGACAAGGTTGGGGAAAAGTCAACATGGGTGTTTAACTGTTTTATTGCAATAAGGAGCTGTCTGGCTTGCTTAGAGATTCAGGTTTTTCTGCACTTACATTTTAAAATATAAGTGTAGAATTATATTATTAAGTAAAATGTAATTTTGCTGGATTTCTACTGAGTTGACAACAGTTTTGGCAGGGAATTAAGTGACAACTTTAAACAGCCTGGCTGACCAAGGCAGAAAAAAACAGTATATAATTTTAGCAGCAGTATCTAGTTGAGATCATTGCTCTTGCAGTCAATAGGAAAAAAACATATATGGTATAGCTGGGTATGGCTAAGAGGGAACATTTCTTTTGTGGAAATTCAGAACAAGAAGGGGAAAAAGGCTCCAAAGAGACTATGGGATGCCTGGGGGATGAAGAGGAGGAGGACAGGATATTCACATCACTGTTACCATCCTGAACTTGAGTCCCTGCTCTGCCCTCACTGATGTAAAACTTGAAATTTTCCTTATTAGATACAGACTGCAGCAAAAATGCTTTGGTTACAAAACCGAGCAAATTTACCCATCTATGCCCTGACATTATGCAGATCTTTCCCTCTTTGGGTGACTACTGCAAATGCTAAATCAAACCTTAGCTCAATTATTTTGTCCAACAGCTTCCCCGAGAGTGTCTGGTTTTATTAATAAATTAGCCTTATAGAGTGAAAAATGAATTATCAGGATTTTTCCTGTCTCTAGAACGGAAGGGAATTCTGATAACTCTCTGGCACTAATGAAAAATATTCAGTTCCTAATAGCAACAGAAGGTGATTTTAAAATTTAAATTAATCTTTTTTTATCAGCAGTCACGGTGACATTGCCTGGTGATTGGTGACAAAGAAATTTGTTGTTTAATAAACTACTTTCTAAAGGAATATATTATAACTTCTCTACACCTGAAGCTTCTGGAATTGTCAGCCTGGCAATCAAGAGTTATAATGATGCAAATAAAAAAGCTCTCTTGAAACAGAAATGTTGCTTTAGTTACACTGGTTTAAGGGAGAGAAGAACGTATATTCATAAAATTAATTATATTGTATGAGTTGCATTTTTGCTGTTAGTGATGTGCTGAATATTAGACAGGTAAGGGAGCCTTATGCCTTATCTGGCCAAAATTCGGGAGTAAAAAAAAGCAGTGCCTGGCCTGCTGGCATGTGTCTGTAGTGAAGCTGCCAGCTAATATTCTGCTTTTAGTGCCAAGATGAGGACAGAATTGTCTCCTAATTTCCCTGTGACTGCTCAGGTGAACAAGATAAGCCACGGGGAAATTCATGCTTAAGGGCATGGGCTAAGCACCAGCTGGGCTCAGGGAGAATTTCCCCTGAGGCTCACAGCATCTGCAGGTAGATCACTTCTGCCTGACACATCTGTCATAAACTCTGTCTTCATTATATGAACAGTTCATTTATTTTGGAAAGGAGATTGTGATGCTGATTTCAGGGGGTTGTGTGGTGCTTTCTCTTTCAGTTACAGAGGTTTTGGTCCCTTCCAGCCCTTCTGTTCTTTGGGGAAAATAAACCCTGGACTGCTCAAGCAGGACTCAGGAGCTGGATGTAGCAGCTGAAAAAAATTGTGGGCAATATTGCAAGGGGTCGGACAGGTGCAAAAATTGCTCCAAGGAGCAAGAAAGTGGGCAGAGCTCCCTAAAAGACTCTCCAAAGTGTCAGGGTGAGCAGGCTGCCCTCATACTCAGAGCAGGCACACAAGGCTGCAGTACTCTGTGAGACAGGCAAACCACTTCCTCCCCTTCCTACTTTCATGAGTCTCCAAAAGGTTTCTAAATGGAAGTGACCTGAATAGGTCTCATGCATTATACAGACTGTACAGAATGTCATTATGCCAGGCTGGGTGGGGATTTGAGCAATGTGGTCTAGCGGAAAATGTCCCTGCCCATGGCAGGGGATTTGGAATTAGATAATCTTTAAAGGTCCCTTCCAACCCAAACCATTCTGTGATTCTATGCTCACTTTTGCCAAATATCTCTTCAAGTGTGATGGTCTGGTGGAGCTCCCTGTTTCTCTCTCCCCACACTGTTTTCATGAATGATCTATGTAGATAATGTTTGATCCTGACCTGCTGCTGTCTTGCAGCACCATGGATTGAAAACCCCTGGGATCTGAAGCAGTTGCTGGTCTGCAGAGATTCCCAGGCTGGGTAATGCCCCTCTGCATAGAGTGGTCTGATTTTGATTAATTTCCCAGTCATTTAAAGGGTAAAGGAGCCCCTGGTGGTCCAGTGGTAAAGGCGCCGCGCTATCACCGCGGAGACCCAGGTTCGATTCCCGGTCAGGGCCACTCCCGGGCAGGTGGGGCTCGTTAGCCCTTAAAGGCAACCCACCTATGTCCTAAGGACCTCGCTGCCACCGTCCAAGCTCGCTTGGCCCCGGCAGATGAACCTTAGGATTAAAGGGTGGGCTCAGTTCCGCGCACACTGTGTCTCACCTAAAAAATCCAATGCGCAGGCTGGAAGGTGGAAAGACCTTCCCCGGATCTTCGCTCGCGAAGACTGGCCATTATTTATAAAGGGTAATTTGTGTTGACATTTGCAAGAGACTGTGAGTACGAAAGGCAGGAAGGCTCTCTGTTGCACCCCCACCTTCCTTTTGCACTGGCACTGGGATCCAGGTCCCTCAGCCCTCCTGGAGTAAGCAGTGCTGAGCAGTAGGACGCAGCACAGCTCTGTTTCACTGACAACCCCAGATGGATAGGTCAGTGCAACGATATCCTAATTGCTTTTGCTAATGGGTAAAGCAAATCAGCTTGAAACCTGTTGGGGTAACTCTGCTACATAAAAAGAATGCATAATATTGTTAAATTGACCACGTGTCCAAGATGGTGATTTTAAACCTTTGTGTAACCCTTCTTGTTCCCATAAACCCCTCACTGTACCTGTGGAATGTCTGAGAGAACTAGAAACTCATCTATTGGTTGTTAACCCCTTGTCATGATTGGTTGTTTGTAAGATGTCCTGTACTCTCACTGGTCACCCTGTGATCCCTCCAAAAGGTACTTAAACAGTTGTTAGATCGATAAAGGCTCTCTTCGCTGCTGGACTCCCTGCGTGCTGTGTGGTCTCTGTCTCCTGGCATAGGGGCCTCCGCCGCCTGTCCCTGCATCGAGGGATGGGTGGTGGGGGGGTGATCTCAGCCCTGGAAACCTTCACAGAGCAGCCGGGAGTGACCCTCCAGAAACCCCCCCAAACTGCAACAGAAACCCTGGGGTCAGCCAGACAATCCCTATTTTACATCAGGAGCCTTGTCTGAGCTCACTGCCAGACACAAGCACAGTGTAGCAGTGTTCCCTGGGGTCAGGGCTTCTGAGCAAGCAACAGGAGAGACGAGTCTGATCCTACTCTTCTCAGGGAATTGAGACAGTAAGAGACAGATTGTATGCAGCATGTTTCCTTGGGAGCCCAGGGAGCAAAAGCAGTGGCTTTAAGCTTTAACATGCTGGATTTTGGCATCTTTCCCTGTTTTGTGCCAGAGCGATGTCTCCCAGGGAAGAGGAGCTCAATGGGGTCCCCAGAGCATGTGTGCATGTGTGTGAGTAACTGAGGAGTAATTCCCCGCTCTGTACTCATGCCCAGGAGGTACAGCCTGGTCACCTAGATGAGGATTTCTTTCGACAGGCTGCTGGAGGGAAATACAAGCAGTAGCATGTCTCATTCTGCATCCCTTGCAGGGCTGGACACATGGCTTGTCATTTGTCCAGAATCCAGGACAGTCTGTCCTCAACCCTTATTCATTTTTCAATAAAGCATCTGACAATGAGAAGCTTTGCACTGAATTTCCACTTTTATCTCAGGGGTGAATTTTCACCTCCCCCTCCCCCTCCAGATTTTTTTGTGATCTCTGTGTTCTTCTGCCCAAACTTTATTGTTGTTCTCCTCCTTCTGTTGTCTACACATTCCTCCTCTTCCTACACAGCACAGGAATATCCCAACCTACTCCTAGTTCTTTCTAAGCCAGAACAGCATTAGTATTAGCACTGTGCTGGTGACAGGCAGCTAAGATTAAATGAAGCACTGCTCAGCAGAAGTGAGAGCACATACATGTGTGACCTTGTCCCTCCAACCCTGGAACCATCATGCTCCATGGAGCTAATCCATTCACCCAGTAGCCATGGGGACTCTACCTTTACTCCCTACATGAAGTCTGCTGATGGAGTGAAATGTGGGCATTAAATTAATGATTATTGATTGCTTTCTTACTCTGACAATGGCAGGTATGTGGTTATTAAGCTGTATTGCCTGAGTGCTTTAGGCCACTAATGTTGGCCCTTCCTCATGCTGCTGAGGCTCACCTTAGTTAAGACCTGTCTTGTGTTTCCTGCTTGCCACTTCAGTCCTCTCCTCTACAGCCCTTCTTGCTGGAAAGGATTCTTTCTCTCTGTCCTGAAGAACAACATCTGAACAGCATTTTAGGAGCACCTGAATCCCTGTCCTCACATGGTCATCAAACTGCCTGACACTGCCCATTTTATTATAAAACAAATTCCTGTCACTGTCTGATTCACAGGTGACCTGCAAGGTCTTGGGATGGGGTAATGTGCGAGCACTTGCACAATCCTTCCTGGCAATCCTCTTGCATGTTCCTCAGTCTGTAAGAATGGAGAGCAAGGCATTTTGAAGCTTATATCTACACTGCAAAAGTAAAAACTCAAATATCTTTGGCTTCTCTCTCAGACTCTTGAGACTCAGTAAAGAGCTCGGTTTCTTCATCTTCAACTTATCCAATCCATCAGTACTGATTTCCTCCTTTGACTTCAAGCAAATCTCTTGAATCAAATACCTGAATAATTGCCCAGGAGTTGTCTCAAAGGGCTGTGCACCTCTACCAGTACATCCTGTCCTCTTGAATGGCCAAGCAATGTGTTAGGGATATCCTGTGCTGCTGCATCTGAAGACTTTTAATACTACTTTTCATTTCTGTGCTTTCTGTATAAAACATCCCTTTGGAATCACACTCCAGGATATTTCAGGAGGTGATGCTCTCCTGCTCATACCATACTCCAGTGCAGTCCTGATATCCATAGCAAAAAGCTGTCCAGTTGTGCAGGGTGAGCTTTGAAATGATGATTATTCATAAGTGAAAATGGAGAGCTTTCACTGGGCAGGAGGAGATTAAAGCAAACATCCAAGCCAAATTCCAGCTCAGGTGGTGGCAGTCCCTCCACTTAATTATCCTCCTGCCCTCCCACTCAGATTTATCATTATTCCACGATGCAGTGATTTACCACCCAGTCCTCTGGGCTCCCATCTCCAAACCTGGCTGTCAGGCACAGCTGTAAGTGCTGGCAGGCAGTCAAGGACTAAAGATGAAAGCCAAGGCAGCCTGGAGTCAAGGATGACCTCTCCAGCATCCAAAGCCTCCTCTGCAAGGTCCTCACGGGTTCAGCCTCCTCATTTCCAGCTCCTCCAAGGCTGTGAGTAGTGTACGACAGGAATATATGAAAAAGCAGAGAACAGCCAGACACTATTATTTATCCATTCGCTGTCTAAACTTACTTCAAGATAAAAAGGAGTTGATTGACATGAGAGCAGGAGGCAGAGCACATGGAAACCTCCTGGTCCCAGGAGACACTTGCTGCAGCTGCTCTCCAGGGCAGGGCTGAAGCAAACGCCTTTCTCTCCTTGTCAATCGCAACATTCCCTTCCTTCAGCAGAGATTATATTTCCCAGCTATTACATTTTTCAGATACTTTTCAGATATTACATTTTTCTGATATTTGTCAGAGATATTTTGCAGATGATATTTTACAGAGCTGATACTCCCATTCCTGAAAATTATTCTCTGTCAGTGCTGGGACACTGGAGCTGTTGTACAGGAAAGGAGTGAGGGGAAAAAAAAAAGACCAGGACAGAGCCAGGGGAGCAAGATTTCACTATCTAATCATAGAAGTGTGCTTGGATGCTGGAATATTTAATGTCAAGCATCCTAGGAGCTGAGGATATATAAAATGACACAGATCTTGAGGAACCGCAACTTTCTCCCTTTTTTTATTTTCTTCATTCTGAAAGCTGTCAGTCTGCCATTATATCCTCTCCTTTCCCTCCTGCAAAGACTCCCTGCTCCTTTCTCCAGTCATTCACTTGCTCCCACACAGGACCTGGGAACTGTATAGGCATTAAGGGGGACACAGGTTTTGGAAAATGTTTCTGTGTCCCAGATTTCAGGAAGAGGAGCAGCCCTAAAGAAATCCCTCTTCCTCACCGTATTTATCTACCCACAGAGATGTTCAAAGCAGCCATGGGCAGCATGATCCTGACAGGTGCCTTGTTCCCGGAGATGCCTTTGGCACTCTGCTCTACTTCTCAGGGTTGATGCCGCTTTGTTGTCACCCCTGGCTTGGACCCACAGTTTGCACTGTTAATTGCTCTGCAGTGCTTGTGGACAAGAGCTCTGGTTTTATCCACTGTAGCAGTGTAAAACCCTGATCTCCTCCTAAAAGTCCTTTAATTAAGAAGTGTCAGGATGAGTTGGAATAATACAGCTATATCTGGGGCTGACAGAAGGAGGGAGCACAGCTGAGATGAGATGTATCCATTTTCATTGCCTATCCCAGACTGATGATGGAGCAGTTACTGCACAGAGCCCATTATTGAAGGAGCTTTGAGAAACCCAGAATAGAGGGGTTTAGCCTCTAATTTGGTCTTGGCTGGCAGACAAGACCAAAGGCATTTCTGCCTTTCCCTTTGAGAACCTAGGCAGTCTCTGCTGACTGACATGTAGCCAGAAATAGGACTGTCTGTTGCTGTCCAATACCCAGGGCCATTTCTTAGGGCTTGAGACTTCATCAGGAGCTGAAAAATATCTCCACATCCTAAATGATTACCAGAAACAAGAGAAGCAGGAATAAGATTAGGACTCTGAGGGAGAAACAGGGCAGTGTTCCATTGTTAAAGATCTACAACATATACATATATAAAAATAACATGAACGGTATATTTATTGCAGATAGCACATAGATAACATATTATACATAGCATAACGTATTATATATAGTATATAGATAGCATATACAGCATATAGAAGGAACGATCTGAATAGCCTGTTGAAAGATTTTTGGATTATCCAGAGGGATCTGGACAAGCTTGAGAAATGGGCCCATGGAAATCTCATGAGGTTTAATAAGACTAAGTGCAACATGCTGCACCTGGGTCAGGGCAACTCCTGGTACCAATACAGGCTGGGGATGAACAGACCAAAAGCAGCCCTGCTGAGAAGAAATATGGAGAGGGACTTTTTACAAGGGCATGAAGTGACAGGACAAGAGGGAATGGCTTCAAACTGACAGAGAGTAGGCTTAGATTAGATATTAGTAAGAAATTCTTCCCCATGAGAGTGATGAGGGACTGGCACAGGTTGCCCAGAGAAGCTGTGGCTGCCCCATCCCTGGAAGTGTTCAAGGCCAGATTGGATGTCCTGGTCTCATGGAAAGTGTCCCTGCCCATGGCAGGGGCGTTGGAACAAGATGATCTTTAAGGTCCCTTCCAACCAAACCATTTTGTGATTCTGTGATTATATGATTTGATTTGTGTGCACAAGAGTGTGAGAAAACAATTCCCACAAGTTACAGGCTCAGTGCCTGGGTTTTTTTATAGCCGTTTATAGATCTGTGATAAATTTTTTGGCCTACTACTAAACATTCGTACTATCTGTAGTCAGGTGCATGGTTCTTGGCTGGCACTATTAATATAAAGAACATTTCCCTGCCAAGGGCAGGGAGAGTTGGAATAGGTGGTATTTAAGGTCCCTTCCAACCCAAACCCTCATAGGATTCTATGATTGCTGTTTCTCCTCACATGCCTGGTATAGGCAAGAAAACAAGGACAAAGCTATAAGGGAGTTTGTGATGGATCCTGTGAGATGGCCAGCCTCTGTCCCTAGTGGGCCTGGGCTTGCTGTGGGTGTGTAAAAATGATCCATACTAAGCATTGCAGCTTCCATGTCCTTGCCATGGGGGAAAGAAGGGAAGGCAACACTGCCAAGATCTCCCACAGCAGAAAAGGAGCAGGTGGAGCCCTCAACCCACAGCGTTGCAGGAGTTCAGGTCCTACAAACCCTCATCAGTCTCTGTCAGATCCTGTACAACGCTGCTCCTCTCATCCTTTCGAGGAGTATGACCTTGCTGAGTGCATTCCAGATTCCAGCAATATTTTTAGGCACTTGCTGGGAACTAGCCAATGCTGACTCAAGAGCTTTCCAGTCATGAACTATAAAAACTCAGACCCTATAGAAAAAGACCATGAAGAGTTAGAAACATGTTTCTGGAAAAAAAATTGAGAGATAAATTTATGCCAAGAAGAAAGGGTATGTATGAAACGTCCAGCTACTTCAACTGTGCTGGTGCCATTCAGCGAAAGGAAATAAAAAACAATAGCTGTGTCCATAAATAGGCCCAGGCAGGGGTTTAAGAAGACACAGATTGCCTAATAAATCTTTCCATATTTCTAATCTGCCCCGGCTGACTCAGATTACATTACTGAAATGTCACAATTGCTAAGCATTAGCAAGTGATAAGAACACTTTTACCACCAACCAGACAAGTTGTAATTATGTCACGTCCTTTTCCTCTCCCCTTTATTGTAGCTCTAACAGACTCTCCAAGATCCTTCCTCTATTTAAATAAGAACTAAAAATGGCACAAGGCAATAAAGCAAAGTGACAGAAAACATAGGAGACAAGTCCACAGCTGCCACGTTTTATTAAACGTTTTTCTTAATAACAAGATGTTATAAAGTGTTGCATTAATATGCACAAGATGCAAAGAGATGGTACCTTTCAAACTTGATGATTTCAGGAGGAACTTTTCAAAGGTTTGGTGTCTCAGTCTTGAGGAAAACCTTTTGCCATGACAGCTGAAAAACACTTTTTCAGAGCTGCATCAAACGATGTTTGGTTCGTGGCAGCTAAAAAGAGTTCATCTGATGCAGTGGTGTAAGTTATGGACATCCTGGGATCGCAGATCTTGGGAAAAAAATCAAATGCTCTTTGGTTGTCAGGGTTGGATGGAAGGGTGTCTGTTAAAGAGGCAGCTTCCTGCCTTCTTTCCCCTCTGATTGTATGTCCCCACGTCTCTCTTGCAGATGGACTGGCTGCTTTCCGTGCTTTCCTGAAGACCGAGTTCAGCGAGGAAAACCTGGAGTTCTGGCTTGCCTGTGAGGACTTCAAGAAGACCCGCTCAGCAGCCAAGCTGGCTGCCAAGGCTCAGCAGATCTTCGAGGAGTTCATTGACGTGCAGGCTCCTCGAGAGGTGGGTATTCCAGCACCCTGGGCTGCCACGGCATCCCTGCGCTATGGGAGCAGGTCCATCTCCCCCACACAGGACCCATGAGGTGCCAGGGAGCCCTCCCTCCTTCCTTCCCCTCTTAGAGGTGATGGTAATGAGTGGGTAAGGAGGGTGGCACTGCCATCCTGGCTGCTACAGCTACCTCTGCTCATGGTGACTCATCCCCAGCGAGGGCAACCACTTTGACGATACTAAATTAGTCACAGCCAGTGAGTTCACTGGCAACCTCAACCTACATTTCCTAACCTCTTCGAGCTTCCTGGAAGCATTTCACCTTGCTCCTCTCATTTACTATCAGTCCTCAAGCAGGCTATTGGGCTCATTCCTCAAAGGACACTTTACATAGAATAATCCCAGGAATGACTTATGTGTTGACTCTCCAGGGAGGAGTGTTTATCTACTGACTAACTCCCAACTCAATTAGACCTCCTAAAAGATGTGAACAATAACTCTGAGCTGAACAAAAAGTGCAGTCACAACTCAGAGCCCAGAATTGTTAAGTCCTCTTTCAAGTACTGACAGGCAGATGTGGCTGTCAGATCCTGTGTCATGATGCTGGGTTGTGTTATTTTATTCATAACACAACCACGAGGGCCTTACTGCACCCGCCCTCCCACAGTGGTCCCTCCACTCCACTGCACGGGTGCTTGTCACGATCCAGGTGCCTGCGAGGGGAGCCCCCTAAAAGGACTCATTTTACTCTATGTTTGGGCTAGGAAGGCTATTGCAAGGCCACTAAGAAGGACCCAGATTTACACCAAAGTGTGTGGGTGTCTCAGGGAATGCTTCAATGCCCACTGCTCTCTGTGAGCATCTTCTTGCTGTTATTAATAAAGCTGGATGAGATTTTAAGGACTGGAGGGCTGAATCTTGATTAGAAATGTAGAGTATAGGTAGGATGGGGGCTCTACTGTGATTTGGTCCAGTTGTGAAATTTCCTTAACACTGCTATAATTTTGGCATGTTAGAATGTGAAATGACCCTTAAGCAATGCAGAAAGTTAATCTGTATTGCTGTCACCCACAATAAGGCAGACAGCTTTACTTTCTAGGCTCCTTTGAGTTTGGACACTGGGTTAATAACAACAAATACCAACCTTTCAGCCATTTTTTTCCAAACAATAACCCTAATAAATGCTGATTGCTTTGCTAGGGAAAGAAAACAGGAAAACTCCCTTAGCTGGCTTTGCAAACAAATGGCAGTCATAACGTTGGGGTGGTTTATTTTTTCAAGCCTCTGCTCCAGATATTGTAACATTAAGCTGTTATGGGAAAAATCAAACAATTTCTTTTAGATCAACAGAAAGCATTTAATAAGAATGTACTAATAGTTTAACCCCAGTTAAAAGTTCATTCATCTGTATATTGGGCATGTAGTGAAGAAAAAAGGGAATAGAGAAGTCATGGTTGGCAGGAGAAAGATTAGACTGAGTCAGTAGTTTTAGATGATGTGCTGCATAAGAGTCTGAATAAAAGTAATTTGATTTCAGAAGTGCTCAGATCACTACAAATCCAGTTCAACTTTTCCAGGCTTGGGGCAGGATTCATACCCCTGGATCACTAAATTCTGCAGAGTTGTGGGGGCTGTTTAGATACAGGTTTAGGGAAGGACCTTGGTCCTGCTGCTGTTTTACAGCCATAGCTGAGAGGGAATGCGCCATTCGAAGGAGAACAACTGGTCATTCAGTACCAAACTCTCTTGTGCTGCTTTTCCCAGGTGAACATAGACTTCCAGACACGGGAGCTGACGAGAAGAAATGTGCAGGAGCCCTCTCTCTCTTGCTTTGATCAAGCTCAGGGGAAGGTGCGCAGCCTGATGGAGAAAGACTCGTATCCCAGGTTCCTGAGATCCAAAATTTACACTGACCTGCTGTCTCAAACCCAGAGGAGGCTCAGCTAGAGCAGCTGTGGGGCCTTCAGAAACCATGTGCTTCCCACAAGAGCCAAAACCCATGTCTAAATGTGAAAATTTCTTGGTGTTAAAAGCAGTGGGAATGAGAAAAGAGGGAGAAAGGGAAAAGGAGGCTTCCAGATCATGATCCAGGTGTGGTATTAAGACTCTTTGACTTCCTGTGTTTCTTTTTTTGGTTAGCAGTAGCACCTTGCAGTTGTTGCCTCTCTCTAGCACAAACCCACAATCCTCTCTAGTCATGAGGTTATCTGTTGGGAAGGCAGGTTTCCTTTAAAATTACTGCATTGGTTTGTGTGTAAATAACACCATGGCACCTTTCCATCCTTCCAGACATCTCCCTGGCTCTCACCTCTCCCCTGTGCTTGGAAGGGCCCTAAGGGCTATTCTGACTCTTGTGAAGCCATGTCCAGCCCAAATCAGTGTCTCCCACACTGGCTGCTGAGGTCTGCACCCCGAGACCAAGGGGAGGGAGAGAGAAGGAGAAGGCACATAGTTCATGCTGCTTCTTAGAGCAGAAACCATCAGCAAACTCAGCTCACCTTTCAATTTTGGTTGTACACCTTATGACACCAGCTGCTACCCCGTCACAGCCCCTTACCTTTCAGGGATGGAGACCAAGGGTTGTTTTCCATAGGACTGCTAAGGAGCTGAGATTTTCCCATGAGGAAGATAATCCCAAATGCTCTCACTAGACATGGTCAGACGAGTCTTCTAGTGTAAATGATCGTTTTTCATTAATATTATTTATTTGTGCTGTAGCTCAGCCTCAGGATCCCCAATCATTGCTCAGTCTTCGTTGTGTTAGGCACTGTACCAAAACCTAACACGAAGAGGCTTCTGGCTGCCGCAGACATTAACATGCTTGATGGCTTCTCAGCAATGATCTGTCAGCTGCTGGGAGAGAGTCAAGAGAAGGAATGTCCCCTCTGCCCCTTACTGAGATGTAAGAAAAGCACAAGACCTGTCTGCTATGGTAGACGGTTATTTTTTATGTAGTACCTGACCAGCGCATGGCAACATGAAAAATCACAATTATGTTTTTATTATTCACTGATTATTGACTGTCGTTACCTACCGATTGTCTACTGTGGGTTCAATGCCAACTACTAAAGACATAGACCCTGCTGCATGGTGCTTGTTTCACACAGGATACAGGGAAGCATGGGGTGAGCAGGACGGGCGTCCAGGTGTGCAGTGGGGTGTGAGGTGTTCTTTGGCCCTATTCCCGTAGCCTGGATAGCCACTGCAGGAGAAGACTGTGCAGATGTCAGTGGTGTAGCAGATCCTCTGTGCTGTGCAATAATTCCTACCATCTAATGGCCCCATTTCCATGGCATTGCTGTTCCAGCTTGTCAGATTCTTGCAATATTTTCTACTGGAGAAGCAGACAGCCTGTCTTTGGATTTAAACCTACAGACCAGAGGTCTGTTTTCTTAATTTTATGAAGGTCTGGAAAGTGACCCCATGGATCTTTTCCTTCTCTCCATTATCGACAGAGGCTTTAAACCTCTGCTCTGTACGAGGGTGGTGGGTAGGTTGGATACATCAGAAACCTGCTGATAAAGATTTAGTGTAGTGTGGTGTAAACTAGGTAGAGTGAATTCTAAAGCTAAGCATGACGTGTTTGGAATGAGATACAAAGAGCCTGTTTGTATATTAAAAATTAATGTCCATGAACCAGGTAGGAAACAGTTTTTGAGGCTTTTTGTAAGGATGCTGTGCAGAACATTAGGACAAATAGCTTTAGGAGCAAGATGGAGATGGTAAACATGTTTGGTTTATTTGGAGGTGTATTCCTGTGGTTCCTAAGACACTAATGTCCAAATACAGTAGAATTGCAAATTTTATATTCAGTAGGGAAACCTGCTTTTCAGTACCTGTTCAGTCAGCAACAGAATTCCTCAGGTCTTTGGTAGGCAAATATCATCTCCAGTTAACCTTCCCTGAGGAGTGGCCAGAAAAAGCAACATGCATCCTGGCCACTGTTCTAAGCTGTCCTTTGCCACTGCAAGGACACCTGAGGATCAGGAGTGTGGTGAGAGACGTGGCATTCTGCAGCCACACTCAGGTTCAACTTTTGGAATTGTAGAGGTATATGATGTCCCTAATGTGTGTCCAGAGAGGCAGTGCTCAAGGTCTGAATGTTGCTTTGCAAATTTGACTGTAGTGGCTTCAGGCAAACTGTCTGTGCTACTTGTTTGAAAGTGGGAGCAATGAGATAGGTCTGGGAAATGCCCTGGATTTGCCATGATTCATCCATGAACCAAGGGGTCCAATGTTGTCCAAAGCTTTATGGCAAAAAAGGTACCTGACAAAGAAGGTGTAGTGGCACAGGTGTCTGGGGAAACTTGTGTAATGCTGTGGAAGAAATCAAAGATGGAAGGAAAGGATAAAGAGTTGTGCATCCAGTGGCTGTTCCTGGTGGTATCTGGGCCATAGGAAGTGGAGCAGAGTCACATCCCCTGTATAGCCCCCTCCTGATACAGGGGATGAGGGCAAACCCCCCTCCACGTTGTGGTGAAACACTCTCAGCATTTGACTTGCAAGGGAGGATTGAAAGCTTCCCTCACTGACTGTGAGGAGAGACTGGAAGAACTGCCCTTTCCAAGAAACACTGTCTAATACACCTGTGTAACACAGGATGGACTGGGATCTCTCAGGGGCACAGGCTGTTTTGGCTGAAATAATTCCCCTTGAGATGGCCTGTGGTCCCAGCTGTTGCCAGTGTCACTGCAGCTGTGATCCCACTGCTGCCAAATGGTAGCTCAGCTTCTTGACACTGTGGCATCAAATGAGTCCTACAAGGGGTAAAGAGAGGCCACCTTGTCTGCCCCTGCCTTCCTCACTTCCAGCTTTCTCTTGCCTGCACATGCAAAAGGCATCCCAGTGCTGCCCAGGATGCAAGAGCCAGCAGCAGGAGGCTTATGCAGTCATAGCTTTTATAATGGCCAGTCTTCGCGAGCAAAGATCCAGGGAAGGTCTTTACACCTTCCAGCCTGCGCATTGGATTTTTTAGGTGAGACACAGTGTGCGCGGAACTGAGCCCACCCTTTAATCCTAAGGTTCATCTGCTGGGGCCAAGCGAGCTTGGACGGTGGCAGTGAGGTCCTTAGGACGTAGATGGATTGCCTTTACAGGGCTAATGAGCTCCATCTGCCCGGGGAGTGTCCCTGACCGGGAATCGAACCCGGGTCTCGGCAGTGACAGCGCCGCACCCTTAACCACTAGACCACCAGGGGCTCCAGTCATAGCTTTTAAAGAGAAGACAAAAGGCCATGTTAACTGCCTTGTGGTACTTCTCTACAAGCCCCTGACAGGCTTTCTGAGTGGGCTTGGATGGTGCTGACCTCTAGTGCCTGCTGATGCACCCCAGATGAGGCTCTGCAGCAAAGCCCCCCATGGTGGGGAGGGTCACAGATACAGCCAGGAAAGGAGGACACAGAAGAAACAAGAGGTTTGTGTCAAGGAATGGGAGTCAGGACAATCCCCAGGCTTCCCTGATGGCTACAAAGGCTGGTCCTCTTCAGAATGTGACTCCAGGAGGTAACATCTCTCCACAAGCTCCTCCAGCATTGGTGCTGTTGTCCTTTCAGTTTATGTCAGAACTCATGATGAAACTTCAAAGTAGCCAACACCCTGTAAATCCAAACTCCCCACTCTCCTCCATCAACCTGGGAAATTGCTTTGAGTGGGCACATCCAGAGATGCCATTGCTGCAGTGCTGACAGGAGCTGCAATCACACTGGCTGATATAGAAGTGTTTTGCCCGTTAAAGTTGTGCCAGATAACATCCTCTGCGGGAAACATCATCCTAGAGCACAGAGTGGAGCAAAAGTATTGTCTGAGGCATATGAGTCTATCACAGTTATTTTTGTTGCTGTCCTTACAGTTCACATCTCTTGAAGGAAAGCAGACTAGTTATTTAAAGCAATATTGTAGTTTTCTTAAACAAAAAATTGGCACCAGTTGCTCCTTTTATCCCAAATGTCAGTCTGAAGTGAATTAAAATAGACAGCCTATGGCTCTTCCCCTTAAACCAGGGGCTGATCAAGGAAATAATGACTGAACCAGAACTTCAGAGAGCACTGAGTGATGACTAATCCCTATCAAGGACAAATATTCTGTCTTTGATTCATCTCTTCCTAGTGTGAAAGGGATATTCATAACTTACAAACCCCATTTCTCTTCTCCACAAGCCCACACCTTCAAAATTTTCCTCCCGTTCCTACTAGTGTCAGAGTGTGCCATCACATGAAGACGGGAAAAAAATTGGTTCACTCAGCTGTTTTTATTCTGTTTGCTGGTACATATCCAGTCAGCTCCCAAGTCCTTTGATAGCAAAAGAGTTTACAAATCTCCTTCCTCTTTTCTATAAGCTTCAAGTGGTGTTAACTCCAGGATGGAGATGCAGAACCGCAATCTGCTTTAAGATTCTTCTGCTTTGGGATGATTTCCATGACTTTTAGTGGACTCCTTAATGTACAGAGGGGTCTGTGTCCTCACACTGGGAGGTGTGAGGGGCAAAGTCGCTCTGGTCTAAGCAGGGGAGGAAAATTGATGTGTGTGTGTGTCTGCAGGTGTGGGTGGGGAGAGCGCATGTGACTTCATGTGTACCTTATTTAGTGTCCTCTACTACAGAAACTTTTCTGAGACATAGATGTGCATGTTAAAGTAGGAGAATTAGGCACAAATGACATAAAATGAGAATTTTTAGCCAGTGTTGTGTTTGCCTTGTGTGTAAGTTTGGCTAGTATTAAGAGATGTAAAACTCTGCTAGGCTTCCAGTTACCCATAAGAGCACATGTATCAAACTGAACTGAATGTTCACTGATAGACACAAAACCAAAATGTTTACAGCGTTCAGAGCAATAGCAAAGCATACCTCATGCCAGTCCTGGAGTGCCTCTCACCCATCAGTGTAAGCTCTCCCCTTCCTTGAGGCCTCTTGCTTCTCCCTTCAAAGCCCTCTCTCCTTCTATGTCCTGCCCTGGGGATCCTTCCTCCTCCTTATACTTTCCTCCCTGAAGTTCTCCAAGCACCTTTCCTTCCTCCAGCACTGTCTGTCCCTGTATATCTGAGCCTAAGTCTCCCATAACTCCCCCCATGCCCTCCTGTTTCCCTACTCTCCATCCCCATCAATCCCTTATCTCTTCTTTGCCTTTTCCTTTCCCAGACAGTTGTCTCTGGCCATGCCACCTCCCTCCTACACACCTCCAACTGTCATTGTAAAGCTCCTAGTAGCTATTCCTTGCCCATTATATAAGAACAAAATGTTTCACATAATTTCTGCATTATCTTTCGTTCCTGGGGCTGCTGCACTTGTCCTTTTCCTCGGTGCTGTGCTCCCTCCAGCATCGTAGCATTATATCCCAGAATTAAAGTCCATTTTGCTGCTAAAACAGAACACTTCTCTCTACCGTGCCCCCACCCTGGGCTTTGCAGAGGCTCTTCTTGTCCCCAGTATTTTGTCTTCCTTCTTTTCCCATCCACGCTCCATGTTCTGTGCTTGTGGTAGGGGCTGGCTGGTGGAGAGGGTAGCCGTGCTGTGCAGAGGCAGTGGCTGCATCAGCAGGGTCACAGCTGGGCTTCCCCTTCGCTTTCTGGTACATAAAAAATGGTGTCAATAAAGGTTTTGTTGTACTTGTTTGGTGGAGTCAGCTGTTCTGCTCTGTGCCTCCTCTTGCTTTTACTGGAGGGATGTATCTCTAATTTGAGACTACTCCCTAAACTCAAGAGTTCAGGGAACAGGGCATTGGAGGGAGGTGGCAGAAGGGAATGAGTTTTTTATCAAAAAACCCAAACATTTCTGGCACAGAAGTACAGAAGAAAAGGCAGAAGAAAGGTCCGTACTTCTGGAGGGACCTGGTGTACCAGGGAGCTATGGGGACCAGCTGTGGGATGAATTGTTTGTCTCAAGTAGCCCCTCAAGTCCCAGTTTGCATCATGGGCTGCATGCCCCAGGCTGGATCTAAAACATGACAGATGAGGAGCTGCTCAGCTTTGCATTTACAACGTAGATAACAGTGTTATCCTAAGAGAAATGTCTTCACGTTGCTCTATCAGTGCCTGCAGCCACCAGACAAAAAGCAAGAAGGGGAAGGAAGGCACCTTCTGTTGTGTTTACTCATGCAGGTCTCTGCAGGATTACTGGCAATGAAGGGAGCAGGATACAAGTACATCCTGGGGTAGACCCCCTTCCTTAAAAACCACGATTGAAGATCTCCTCTCCTTATAACCTCTCCCCTCTACCTCTAGAGGACTTGCTTACTCCTCTACAAGCAACCCAAATCAGACATGTAAGAGTTCAGATTTGCCTTTAAGCTCTCTGGCACCTCCACCTTCAGAGGGATGGTAGTGTCCCACTGGTAGGAGGGGGCCTTGAGGACCTGAATCCAAACTCAAGCATCAAATAAGACTGTTTTAGGTAATAAAGATGTCTTGTTCCTGTGGAAACACACTTACGGGTGTCTCAGAAGAGACTGAGGATGGCAGTACTGTATGGGGTGAACTCAGAAGTGAGCCACCAGGTAGAAAGACTAGCTCAAAAGAGTTTCCCTATGCCACATTTTTATTTTAATGAGATCCTGATGCTGTAGCTGCCTCTGCAGTGTTTGGGTGCTGCTGGTGTGGGTAGATAACAGCAGGAGCTGTTTGGGCAGACCATGCAGGCTGTTCAGTCTGATCTCTTCCCGGTCAGGGAAAGGCATGGGCTCGGGTTCCGTCTGACCTTCCCTCTGCATTAGCTGCTTGTTTGCTAGGCTCATCTTCCCTGTGAGGCTGGAGAAACTCCTCGTGTCACCACATTGTGAAGTGTTACTCACCTGTACTGTATACAGACCGTGAGGATGTAATAAACAGCCTGAGACTATTTGTTCTCTGCCTGAGTGTCTGAAAAGGTGCGAGTCAAGCATGTTTTCCTGTCTGCAAAGTGGGAACTGCGAGCCTGAGGATGGAGAGGTGTCTCCTAGCAGAATTGCTGAGGAGGAAAAGAATGGGACAAGCTGGTGCCTCCTCAGATCCTGGTTTCACTGGTGGAGACATTCTGGATGGAGCAGCAAAGAGGGAATATGACTAAGCTCTGTTGAAGCAATTAAGAACCAGGCTCCCTGGAGGTACAGTTTGGGGACATGAGTCAGAAATGTGTCAGTAGGACCTGGGAGACTACAAGGAAGGAAAATCTGAAGAGCCAGTGCATGGCTGTCCTCTTCTGGGTACACCTCACTGCAGCCTGTGATGGATTGTCCACCCCAAACCCCAAATCCAACTCACAACACCTTCCAGAAGGGGATGGGCTCTTTCCCAGCTGGGACCATGGCAGAGGGACACAGGGCTGCAAAGGCAGCTGGTAAGGAGAGCCCTGACCATCTCCAATACACATCCTGCCTTCAGGTAGGAAGAAGAGATGATGGCTCCAGAGCAAACTCTCTCTATTAGCCTAATAAACCCACAGAGAAGCAGCCAAAAGTGGCAGAGCTGGGGCATCAGCTGCTCTGTGGTGGCACAGCTCTCACCTGACCCTCTGTCAGCCTTTCCATCACATTCCCTCTTCATCAGACATGAAAACAAGAGCCAAGTCTGCTCCCTGCATCAGGACCAGCGGTGGGGGATGCACAAGTAAGGTCTCCCAAAAAAGGGAGCAGTGTGGATGGATCAAGCATAACCAGGTCATGAAGAAAAAACGACAAATGAAGAGGTTTCTCCAGTCCATAAAAAGCAGCCCTGGGCTCCAGCAGGCAGCTCATACCCAGGCCTCAGCTTGATTCATCATTATGGGATAAGCTGAGGAGAGACAAGACAGGCTGTGAGATACTGGCCAATCATTGGCAAGTTTAGTGTGTCTGAAGGAGCCTGGGCTTGCTGGAGGAGGGTCAGACAGCAGCTGAGGGTAATCCCAGATGATAAAGGGGGAAGGGGAGGCATAAGTAGGTGCAGAGCAGATGTGGGGGGGTTGAGTGTTAGCAGAAAATTCTGTGGTGGGAGATCTGCTGCAGAAATCCTTTTGGGGTTTCAGCAGCAAAGGGCTGAGGCCAAGCAGAGTGTTTCCTGAGCAGGTCTGGCCAGCAAGGAAAAGCAGAGAACTGGACCCCACCCAGCCCTGGGCACACAGAGGGCACTCCTTGCCTGGTGTGCAACCCGCCGAGCCCGCAAAAGGTGAGTGTTTGCTCCATGGTCTGCACAGGGATTCATTTAAAAACAAAAATTAAATGACCTTGTTTTTCTCCGGAAATGGGTGCAGTGGAATTTATCGGTCCCTCTGGCTTCTTTCTATTCCCCTTTCCTTTTCCCTAAATCCCTTCTTTTATTGTTTTTCCTTTCTGCTTCTTCCCTCTAAGCCTGCCTCTGAGCCAAACTAATCTGAATGCATCCAAGGAAGGATCTGCCATTAGAGCTGCTCTGTCTCTCCTCTTAGTTAGGATATATTTAGCCATCATATTTAGCTTTCTTTTTCCTGGCAGTTCGGTGGCTTTAAAAAGCAGGTGCCGGGAATGGAAAGAGAAGATTAAGAGTACCTGCTGTCAACTACATCTCCCTGTGCAGCTGTGCAAAGTGAGCATGTGAGCAGAGTGGATAACAGCTGCCTGTTTGTAAATCTAATTTTTTTTTAATTTTTTTTTTTCTTTTTAATTTCTCATGTGCCTCATGTGAACACAATGTGTGCGTTCACTGCGAATCAGTTAGGCACCCCGTGGGTTTGGGGTGAGGGATGCCAAGGGACCAACGCTCCTGCCTGCATGGGCAGCTGCCTGTCCTGTGACAGGATGGAACCAGGCTCACCTGCAACCACATGGATGTAATGTCCCACAGCAGCCCCTGCCTGTCCCTGTCTCATAAGCTGTGCCCAAGGCAAGGCCCAGCTTCAATCTGGCTCCTTTTAGGAGACCCCTTGAAAACACCCTGCTGCTATCTCAGCCTTGGTAGCTTCCCCAGTCCTCCCTGGCACCATCATAGAACTGTTTAGGTTGGAAAAGATCTCTAAGGTCATTGAGTCTAACCATTAACCCAGCACTGCCAAACCCACCACTAAAGCATGTGCCCATCACCAGGTTCTGACTGATGCTGTGCTCCTGTTGGCACAGTAGCGAGTTTCATGACAGGCAACCCCCTGCCAGCACCTCATTCCCCATCTCCTTTACCTACATCTCTCCTTAAATGCATCCAGAGCTTAACAACACCTTGTAGCTGGAAAAATGGGCTGTGCAACACGAGCAGGGCCTTTAAGCCTCCCATTTCTCTTTGGGTTCAGCATCTCCCCCATTTCATGCAGGCTCGTCACACTTCTGTGAGGCTCTGCTGAAGGGGTGCAGGGAGTGTGTAGTGCTGTCTCCAGGTTCTACCGTTCCTGGTTGCCACCTCTCTGGATACCCACTGGTTGAGGAGAAATGGGGTGTCCGGTTCCTTGGGGAGTCTGTTTGACTCATACCTTCTGTGATGTAGCGAGACTTCAGCAGCATGGCTCTTCCTCTCCTCCTCCTCCCCCCTACCTTCTCTTCCCATCCATTGCTGTATCTTCTCCTTCTTATTCCACTCAAACAATATAAAAATACTTTGTACTGTAAACTCTCATTGGAGCTTGACTGTGCATTGGGGAACATGTGCAAGGGTGCCCTGCACCCTGTCACCAATCCCTCCATGTTTCCCTTTTACCCACCTCAACTGTGTAGTTTTGGGGCTGAAACCTTTATTTACCTATTTTTCAAGTTTGCTGGCACTTTGCAAATACTAAACCAGAAACACCAGCAGCTGGGGCTGAGAGGTTGTGTGTTTTGTTTCTGAGGGTGAAGCCAGTCCCCCCAGAGCACCCTGCCAGGTTTTCTAGGACCTCCCTGGTGGAAATAAGCTCTGAGAGGGCTGGTCCCCATGGATGAGAGGTGGGCTTCATGCCAGCAAGGCTGTGGCACAGTTATGGGATGGGAGCCTGGCCCCAGACGTTGCGACACAGATGAGTTTTTTGTGTTCCTAAACAAGGACTGATAATACAGGCAACTGAGCCAGAGCTGCGGGAGGCTGCTAAGCTAAATGAGACAGGAAGGACGTAATTAAATTAGATACAGAGTGGCATAAAGACATCTGAGCACACATACATTGCTGGGCTGAGAGCCTATTGCATAATCCTGCTGAAGAGCCCTGCAGTATAAACCATTTCAACTAACGCATCTCATGCTGGCGAGCTGCCTGTCCTGGAATAGTCCTCCCACCTCATTGAAGGGGAGAGGCAGAAAAACTGCCCCGAGGGAGCAGAGGTGCCAGCCAGGTGTTGGCTTGTGCAGGGGGCTGTGGCAGAGCAGGGGTAGGGTCTGCCCCAGGCTTGGTGGGGAGGACATTCCTGGAACAGCCCAATCTCTCTTCTGTGCCTGGGCTGAGACCTGCACATGTAATTCTGGCACTGCCATGTCTCAGAGCCATGCCCTGCTTCAAGCACCACAGCGTGGAACCTCCACTGTGAGCGTGGCATTTCCTATGGCTTTGCGCATCTTCTGGCTGAGCCACGGTGGTGCCCCAAAAGACACAGCCTTTGACTTTTCCCCTCCCACTGAGGTTTTACAGGGCTCTCTCTCTCCCACGGGAACTTGCAGGCACCAAGCTCCCACCACAGGTGGTTCCTCACCTCTGCCTTGTCATCAGCTTTGCCCACCTGAGCTGAGAGCTTCAAAAGCTGTTACAAGGGGCAAGGTAAAACCACACACACACTTGTTCGACACACTTTATGGGGAAAAAGCAGTGGGGACACATGGACTGAAGCAAAGCAGAGTGTTGGCAGGCTGTAATCTCAAGGCAGAGATGTGCACAGTTTCTCCTCTCTGGCTCACATCCCCCTTGCTCCTTTCCCATCGCTGTTGCTGCCATCCTGGCTGTGGTTTTGCCATGCAGTTACATTTCCCTGGCTGCTTCAAGCAACAGGTGGCTCCCAGCAGAGTGGCTCTGCTGGGCATCATGAAGTTGCTGCCAGAAATCATCTATCCTGTGTGCCTGTAACATGTGTGCAGCCTCCTGGAGGTTTTCTTCTGGCATAACCTGCTTTGAGGATGCCTCAAACACCAGGGAGGGTTACCAGAGCATCCTGTGACCGTGCAGATCTGCAGGTGGGAGAATGGGCTGCAGTTCTAAAGAGGAAAAGGACAGAGATGAAGTCCTGCTTAACACCAGGTTAATTAACCTAGTTAAGACCCTGGTGTTGTTCTATCTCACCTAAAATGATGAGATAGAACAACACCAGGGCATTGCTGAGCACTGCATCTGTGTGGAAAACCATGGAGGAGACAGAGATGCAGGTGATGAAGGAGAAGGGACACTGCCATCCCAAACCCACAGCTACTGGTGACCTGCTGCAACTGGGAGGTGAGTGCCAACATGCATTAGCAGGGGGTTGGACTGGATGATCTCTAGAGGTCCCTTCCAACTTGAGCATTGTGTGATTCTGTGAAATACCTGGGTCTGACCACCTCCTGTGGGTACGAGGAGCCCATGCCTGTGTGAGCATGGTGGGTGCTGCCACTGCGACAATAGTGCTCCCAGCATGGTGGTGAACTGGGATGGAGCACCAGGCTGAGGTAGCCAAGCACTTCCCAAACTTGCAGTAGGTCAAGTGATGTCCACTCTGTGGGCATGCACAGACCTTCTTGGTGTCTATAGAGGCAAAGGTAACCTTACAGCCCTCTGGCCTCTCCTCTTCTCCTTCTTTCCTTAAATTCACAGCAAGGACCACAGCTCTAATCATGGTTTTAAGGGAAGGCATGAATAAGAGCTTTGTGTAGCTCCAATCATTTATCTGTAGCTGAATATCTGCTAAGCAAGAAGGCTTAAACTTGATTATTTGAGGGGAAAAAAAATCCCAGTAGAGCTATTGGAAAAGAGGCTGTTCTTGCTTCAAAGCCGAGACAGGAGCTAGAAATGTGTGTTCACTCATTAGTCCTGATGCATCTTTCATGGCTCGCTTTGGACAAAATAATTCTGTGCTTTTTGTTAAGTGGTGGGAGAAAGACAAGACTTCCCTTTACAGCTCAAGGGAGCTGAGGTGCCTAGTGCTCCTTTGAAAGTTTTCCATACTGAAGTCCTCCTACTCAGGCTCCCTGAAGGCAGCTTGAGAGGAGCCTTTCTTTCCAGCATAGGGCCAAGATGGTTTCGTGCTGCCATTCTCCTGGCACATCTCATCTCCCTTGGGAAAGATGCTCTGGCAATGGTGCTCTGCGTGACAAATGCAGGCAGCAAGGGTAGGAGACAACCTGAGCTCTGAAAAAACGTCTGTGATGGCTGTGGAGCTTGGATCAGCAGGGACCAAGTGGGGAGGAAGGGAAAGGAGTGGAAGTGGCAGCTGGGGGGGTGGTTAAAGTTGCTCCCTACACTGTGGTGAGCTCCCTTTCAAGAGCCACTGTGTTGGGGGAATTTCAGTTCTCTGGAATCCTGTGTGAGCCTGACTTTGGCATGGGGTATCTGTTGGCTGTTGTGGACCTCTCTGTTTGTGGCACCAGACCTTGGGGTTTGCTGGTGTGCAGTGTGTGACACTGGTTTAACCCTTTCTCTCCATATTTCTGTTTTGCTGGTTCAGTCCTTCCCCTCCAGCTTCCACCTGCTTTTAGTCTCCTTTCCATCTTCAGATCTCTTCAGTATCCACCTTTATCATATACTTTCCCTGGCTTTGCTCAGACTTTTTTGATGTGCATCCCCTCCTCTTCCCTTCTCCCACCATACACCCAGCAGAGAATTTGTGATGAAGAAATGCAACTTCAGTCAACTTGTGGGGACAGGCATCGATCCTTACGTATTCCAGCTGTGGACTGGCTGTGCAATTTGCAGGTAATTGGAAACAGCACACCCTTCTGCTCTATGTGTATTGCATTGCCTCAGGAAGGGCAAACCCTCCTACCCTTGGGATGCTACAAATCAGCCTGACTATGCTGAGGACTGACATCCCCTGCTTAAACCACTTGGGAAAAGCCTGCTGCTACGATGGAAGTGCTGTGAGGATTGGAAGTCCTCGGGCAGCAGGAGGGAGCTGACGACTTGCTGCGCACTACAGCGTCTGTCCTGTCCCTCTTGCTCTCCTCACCCCCGTTCCCACCCGCCACCGGTTACTCAGCAGGCTCCACACGTCGGTGGAAACGAGCCTGTTTTTTCCTGTTATCGAGGAAGCAGCTCTGACTGTGATGGTGAAGGACAAGCTTGGGCCTCCCACACCCCCCTCCCCTAACAACACACACTAACTTACCTAAGCTGTTATCTTCACGGGCGCTGCTAGAGCAGCTTTTGGTTGGCTGGAGACTGGAGCGATGCTGGGTCCCCCTCCCAGCTCTCTCGCCTCCCACCCGATATAAAGCACAGCTCCTCGCCGCTTTTCCAGCCGACAGCACATGACCGTGGGCGCAGGTGGTGCTGCAGCCACCTGTTGCACACCCCTGCCATCGCTGCAAGGACCGGATGAGTTGCTGGATGCCTGGGTGTCCAGCTCTCAGCATGTACCGGGAGTTAACCTCGCTCCCCATCACTTGCCTGGAAAGGTAAGGAGCTTCGCCACGCTGCAGTTCTGGGATGCAGAGGGTTAGCTGGAAAAGGTGCACCTGGACCAGCCTCTGCTGCTGTGGCTGTGATGTTTCGGTAGAAACTGGGGTGCAGACTGCAAGGAAACACGCAGCGAAGTGATTTGGTTTTGGTTGTACCCGTTCTGCTCCCCAGGAGGGGAACGCAGAGGTAAAACATGCGGAGGGAGAGGAGGCTGGACAGGGCTGCCCAGTGTCTGGGTGTACAAACACACCAGGCTTTCTCTGGCTCCATCTCCACAGAACTTGCTTCAAGTTGACAGCAGCAGGAGTATTTTTGTCAACATGGTTGAACTGTTAAGTGACTACAGAGCCCCACGCTGCCGGCTTGACATTTAAGCACTTATTTTTGTATGGGCGCCTGGGGAGGCCAGAATAAGCTGCAGCGCACGAAGAGCAGCGGGGCCACACGGTGCCTCGGGGAGACCCTGGGGAGAGACCCGATTCTCCTGCCGTGTTGCCGCAAAGATTTCCCAGCAGGGAGGTGTCTCCATGCCCTCGCCGCAGAGCTGCGGTGACAGGCAGTAGCATCCCAACCTCTGGCACAGGAGCATTGTGCTGCTGCCGGGCTCTCTGGCTCTGAAGGTATGGGGTAGGTGGATGATGCCACTGGGGAGCACAGCCCTCTCCATAGCGTGGTGACAGGCTCCTGGTGACTCAGGGGCACTCCAAAAAGAAAGCCGGGTAGCAGCAACCTGGCAACAGGGACACGCTCCCGCTCCGCCGAGCAGAAAGCAATCGCTATGTTTTGGGAGACGTGTAGTCCTGCCGGGAGAGCGAGATGGGAAAAGGAGCCAGGTTAGTTGCGGGGGCTGCTGGGGCTCAAGCTGAGCACTCAGCAGCTGCTCTGCTACTTGCCCCAAAGGAAAAAGCTCGTCGAGCTTTGTATTTCATGAGGCTTTATCTGGGAAGCGAGCGGAAGAAAACAGTCCCGCAGGCTTAATGCGCTGCTGAATGTGGTTGCCAGGAAACAGACAAAGCAACTGGGGGAGCATTTATTTCATACATCAGAAAGCAAGGAGGAGGCTGAAGCTGGGGAGCGAGGGCTGCCCCCACCAAGCCTGTGGGCTGCAGCCCCTCTGAGGTGAGGGGGTGGCGGCAGCAGTCCAACGGCCCAGCAAGCCCACCTCTCCCCTTTCCTTTCCAGAACCAAGGATCTGAAGACCCGCTTAGGGATCCTGCTTCATAGACCAGGGCTGGGACACGGGACCTCCAGCAAGCTGCAGCTAGGCTCCAGGCAGAGGTAAGCCAAGCAGTGCCATGTCCCAGGTTCAGACCGGGACAGGTCCCCACGGACCAGGCTGTCCCGAGGGATGCTTCTGCCCATCTGTGCAGCAGAGAGAAGAGAGCGCAGCTCCCCCTCCCCATAGTCCCACCCAGGCAGCCCGGGAAGGCGGGCTCCCCTGGTTATAAAATCAGATGGGGGAACTGATGCTCTGGCATTAGGCACAGAGAGCAGGGCCTTAGCAATAGGCAAGAAACCGGGGAGCTCCCACAGTTCTTGGTGTCTCAGACCAGTGCCTGGGATCCCTGGGGAATGCAGGCAGCATTAAAAACAAAATACTAAATATTGCTGCTGAGGGCTGGGTGTCTTCTTGCAGAGGAGGTTCTGCTGGGCTTGTACCAGCAGAAAAAGGCTCTTCTGAGCATTCTTTAGAGAACCTCCTGGCCAGCACTATGGAGCTGAGGTCTGGTGAGCCATCAGGGACAGTAAAAGAGAGGGAGAAAGGAAAGAGAGCCCACAGGTAATGGATACTGGCCTCTCGCTTCTTCCTGCTGGGTGCTGCTGCCTCCCTTCTTGCACTGTTTCCCATTAATGGAGCCACACAACTGAAGTGCTCCCATCCTTCACAGCTGGATAGCAAACCTTATATTCTTTTGTTTTTTCCAGAGACTCCTCACAAGAGGTACTGGAATGGAGGGAGTCCTTTGACCAGCTCCTGAAGAGCAAAAGTGAGTAGCATTTTGTTTTCTTCTCTTGTTGTGAGCATGTAGCACAAAATACAGCTCCCAGTGAGCTGTATGCTTGAAGTGAGCATCTGAGGAAATCTCATCTCCTCCTCAGATGAGATGGTTTAGGATTTAGAAAGAGGTCCCTTTTCTGCCCAGGCAGAGCTGATGCATGGGGCTCATAGACTGACTTGGGAAGCTGTACCCTTTTCTTCTGTCTGGGTGCTTCTGGGTGGCACAAGTGCTGTCTCACAATGCCTTGCTGCTGCCTTGGGACAGGAGCAAGCTCCACATCCCATGTGGAGCAGTCTGTCAGGGAATGTCATGGCATTCCCGGACCATCCCTTTCTCCCCACTCGGGAGAAGGTAGAGTGTCTGCTCACAGTGTCCTCCTTTGCACAGCGGTGCAGCCACCTCCCCACAGGCTTTCTCAGAAAACTGCATTGCTGCCCTCTGTCTGTCTGTCCTGTGCCTCCGGGGATGGCTTTTCCACAGGGAGAAGGAATTCAGCTGCTTTACTGAGTTGCCACAGCCATTTTACCCTCCAGTATTAGTTGTATGTATGTGATGCACAGGACTCCTGTGAGGTGCTGTCTCCCTCTCCTCCATGCAGACATCACCCCTTGACCCAGAGAGGAGACCTCTTTTTGAGGTCCCCATGTAATTCCACCCTTACAGCAGGCACACAGTGGCAGAAGTGCCAAACTGTAATACAAAAGTAGTTGTCTACCTTAAAAGCTATTCCACAGCAAGACAAAGTCCTTCCACAGCAATAGTTTGGGGCTAGGCATACTTTTTTTTCCAGCCTTCATCACATGCTGTGATGGCTAATGAGCATCTCCGGCTTTGTAACTTAATACATCCTCCCAGCACGGCTCTGAAATCCTTGCTGCAATTACTCTCCCATCCACAGCATCTTGTCCCCCCCAGATCTCAGCTGAGAAATAAAAATAAAGGGTTGGTTCCTGCAGATGCACCGATGCGTCAGTGGATTTCTCCTTAGGTAGAATTAGCTCGTTTCCGAAGCTGTAAAGAAAATACTCTGAAGCTTCATTACAGAAAGGTCAGATAAATACAACCAGAGGATTACTTGTCTGTGGGAAAGGATTTTATTGGAGTCTAGAGGCCAATTAGCAGTGTCTCAGAGGGTGGAATTTGCCCAGAGGGAAAGGAAATCTGTGGATGTCATGGTCTGTGCTCCGTCCGTTTCCTCCCTGCCTTCTGCCCCATTAACTGCTCTTCTCCCCCCTCCCCAGGTGGGGTGAATGCTTTCCACACCTTTTTGAAGACAGAGTTCAGCGAGGAGAACCTCGACTTCTGGCTGGCATGTGAGGACTTCAAAAAGACCCGCTCAAAAACCAAGCTAGCCTCCAAAGCCAACAGGATCTTTGAGGAGTTTGTCCAAAGTGAGGCACCCAGGGAGGTGAGAGCTTTTTCTGCTTCTGTATTGTGGAAACAAATAGGGGGGGAAAGGAATAAAACATTCTGGTGGATTTTATTAAAGCACTCTCATCTCAGTGGGAAGATGAGATCTTATTCATGAGACCTTTCATCTCTAGCATCATATGGTCTATCACCATTGAATCATTAATGTTGGAATAGACCTCTAAGGTCACTGAGTGCAACCATGAAGGGACAGAAAGTCTTGTAAGAATCTTAACTCTCACATAAAAATGCAGAAAACAGGGTTTTTACCCCCCCCACACACAGGAGGGGGGTTAATGCTGAGTTAATGTTTGTAGATGCTGCTTCCTTGCAGGTAAATATCGACCACGAAACCAGGGAGATCACCCGCAAGAACCTGTCGGGTGCCACCTCCGCTTGCTTCAACGAAGCCCAGGCCAAGACCCGCACTTTGATGGAGAAGGACTCCTACCCCCGCTTCCTGAAATCTGCCTCCTACCAGGACATGACCAAGCAGGCCACCAGCCGTGGCACCAGTAAGAGGTCGCATACCTGACCCGAGCCCAAAACCACTGCGGGGGGATGAGCCAGGGGACCAGGCGGAGGCTGGGACATGGTTTGCAGAGTCTGATGTCTGCACGGTGGGGTTTCAGCTGAAGCTCTGGAATTTCAGCAGGATCCCCAGGACCTCAAGTGCTTCCCGCTGCCCACTGAGCCATCGGGAAGAGCAGTCCTCCCTCCCTGGAGGAATGGAGCATGTGGGAACCTGGTACCTCCCCTTGCAGCTCAGCTGGAGACCTGTACCTCTGCAGAGACTGAAAGAAATTGGATTTGAGTTGCGAGTCCTGGAAAACGAGATCAGATTCCCCTAAACATCCACAACCAGAGAGCTCCCACCTGCTCTCAGGACCCTGCCTATGACCTGCAGCATCAGACACTGGCTGTGGGGCCAGCACAGGAGGCTGCCATTCCCTCATGCAGAGCTTTTCCTATGAGGCAATGGCCAGAATGAAAGCCCAAAGACTACGTGGCATTTGCAGCTGAACGGATCCTGCATCTGCCTTCTCCTGAATATAGACATTGCAGGGAGGGGAGCATCTGAGTGTAACTTGAAGATGTTAACGCTCTGAATAAAAACCCAATCAAAGCATGGTTTTTAAGCTGACTTCTTTCTATTTATTGTGTGTTTTGGAAGTCAAAATTAACTGGCCTGCATCAGCAGAGGAGAGCATGTGGGGACTGCTGAGGAGGAACTGGACTCACGGGAGCCTGTATGCTCCAAGGTGTTACTGTGAACACAAGCCACCCTCTGCCATTAAAATGCCTTTTACAAGCACCTGCAGCTATAACAGAACATTATGTCCCTTCTAATACAGCCATGCAGGGTCCAAGGATCACCACTGATTGTAAAATACATCGATGGTGCTCCATCCCTCTTCCCTACCTATTCAGAAGAAGGCAGGTTGAACTTCCCCATGTCTTTTATTCCCTTTTTAATTAAGCATGGCCTTGTCTTACAAGCCAGGTGATTTGGAATCACAGCAGTCTGCATGTTCACCTGATCTTTGTGCATATCAGAGGGAAGAAATTAGCTGAAAGGTGCCCAGGAAGTGCTTAAATTATTTGTCAAGAAAGAGAGCAGTGAAGCAGTCTAGAAGCAGCTAGAAACAAAAAAATAGTGTTGGTGATTCATTTTTTTAACTGCAGCTTCTAAATGAAAAATTTGAAAACTTTGTCTTGCAGACCTTGAAGCTAATTTAACACTGATTCTCCATTAAAAAAATTTAAATAAGCCAACAAGAGCAACAAAAAAAGGTAAGAAAAATATAAAATCTTTTTGAGCTTTCTTTAGAAGAAAATTTATGTCCATCTTTGATGCATCATGCATGGCTCAAGCTGAGCCTCAGCCTTGGTGGTAGCACTCAGACCCCACTGCTGATTCTAGAGAATCCTATTTGAAGCACAGTTTCATCTTTACAAGCCTGAGATGCTTCCCAGAGAGACAATTCTGTCACTAAAAGCAAGCCTGCATCCAGCGCATCTTCCACAATTGCTTGCCATAGCCAGTGGCAGTACAACAAAGCCTTAATGCCTTGGGGGGATAAAAGACTCTAACCCACAAAACCACGTTTAGAAAGAGGAGTGAAAGCTTCCCATGACTACCTTCAGGCACGGTTGGCAGTGATCCCTTCCAATAAACCACGGCCAAAGTTTCCCAGGGAGGAGGCCGCATTTGGAAGCAGCAGAGAAGATCTGAGCTCCAGGGAGGGAATGTGGGGGATGGTGCTGGCCTCCCTGCCCCATGGTGTGAACACATACTTGCTCCAGGGCCAGGTTTCCATGAGCCAGAATGGCGGGTGGATTTATTTGGTGGAAAAAAACCACCCATTTCCCTCTGCCCTGGGACCCAGTGTGTTCCCAGCAGCTGCTCAGGAGGGTGGCATCGTCACTCAGGGGGTCCCCACCGTGGTGGGACCAAGCAGCTTTGGGGTGGCCTTAGGACACGGACATAGGCGCACAGGTGGCCCCATAAAGACATATATTTAGGCAGGTGGATGTGTGAATACAAGTGTATGGATGCTGAGCCTTCATTTTCCATGGATACATGTGTGACAACATACATATGCAGGCAAACTCCCATTTGCATGCGTGTACAGCCATGATTTATTCATTTTTTTTAGAACAAAGGCTGCAAAGAAATGCTACGCTATTTAAGGATGTGTTTGAAGGAAGCTCGGCAGCAAAAGGGATGCACTGAACCATTTCAAACACAGCAAATGCCTTACCCCGTGTTCTGCAGTGCTCTGACAGCCCCCGGGCCAGCTGACAGGGAGGGAGCAGCTGTATGGCACTGCTTCCCACTCGGCAGCTTCCACTTCAAGGCCTTTGCCTGAATAAAGTGCCAGAAATCACAGCTGATGTGTTTCCATATGACTCACTCTCCCTTGCAAGCAGCTAAATGTCAAGGTTGCCAATCGGCTCCAGCTGTGTACAAGGATCCTTATGCCTGGGGTACCTCGGGATCTGAGAAAAAACTTAAAGCTAATTTTCATGCTTTCTGATGCTGTTGGGGCACCGAGGGTAGTGTTGGGGTCTGCAGCCATCCTGCCTCCCTGGGGTTGGGTTGCCTGTCCTGGAGGACAGCTTGGACATGGTGCAGCTGCAACCTGGGCTTGGCCCAGGGTGGGGGGAAGATGGGGATGAGAAATAGCTGGGAGGAACAGTGCTGGGGAACCGCCTCCACTGCTTTTAAGCTCAGGTGCCCAGTTTAGCTCCTTTTCTTACCTACCCTGACTGATCTGGGATGTTTCCAATGGGCCTGCTCTACTTTCCTTGCCCAGGAGCTGGGATGCACCTCCCTGCTTGGTGAGGTCCCTGTCTCCCTCGCTGTTGTCCTCACCTCTCCATCCCTGTTCCATATGCTGCTCTTTTCCCATTTTTTGCAGTGATGAGGATTGAGCAACAGTCTAAAAATTAGTAAATGCAGTAAAAAGTGTAAAAATACTCCATGGTAAAATGTGTAGATCTGGAGGAAGACTTGGCAGTGCTCGGAGGTGCGAGCTACCTTGATGATCTTGGAGGTCTTTTCAAACCTATATGCTTCTATGAAATGTGGTTGATGCTCCTACATGGATAGCATTGCCTGTCAGTGTTTACACTGCATCATTCTGTGGACTATTTTCCAGAGCTGTGTTCCAGCATGGAGAGTCACATCAGCATGGCCAAGCATATAAACCCTGGGATATTCCCTTTTGGAAATATAATAAGAAAGCACAGGAAGGGAACATGAAGAAAAAAACTCATCTTACTATTCATAGCTCCTTTAAAAATTATTTTGCCTTTGGCAGGCAGTTTTTGCTGCCCCATTTTGCCTAATGTTTATTTGTGGCTGGTGGCCAGGACATGGATTCCCGGAGATGTTATCTCAGGGGAAGGGTTACAAAAATGGGTGCAAGTCCATCAGGATGGAAGAAAAGGAAGGTTTGCTTAACTGTGCCCTTGATTTCCCTGCTGACTGTGTCTCTGCAGCTCATCTCCTGAGGCCCTGTGTTTGTGGGGCCAAATAATGACTCCGCTGATGTGCAAATAGCACAGGAACTACATAGTCCAGGGCTACAAGAATAGTTGTGGAGAGGAGTTCTCTAACTCCCACGCTTTAGAAAACCTTTGAGATCCTTATATTCACCATAAACTGCCTGTCACAGGGACTGAGTTTAAGCTTATGACTATGGAAAGCAATTTGGATCAGGGATAAGAGATAAGGAAAGTGTTACCTGCAAATCCTTCTTTGCTGAGGTACAGGCACAGGATCCTTCTGCCACAGCCCTGCTGTTTGCAAACACCTTGTTCTCATTATCCTATGGTTTGGGTTTCCACCATTCTAGGGTTTTTCATCTTCCCACCATAAGATAATGAAATACTTTAATTAAATCAGCAAGCTGAAGAAGGCTTTGGTACTTGGGTGGGTGGCGTGATATTGTTATGTAGTGTAATGTTGACTTCTTTTGGATGTCTTTTGGATCTGAGCCTGGGATGTGCCCGTGCTCTGCTTGTTTGCCAGCCTGCAAATGGGTAAACACTGGCAGCTACAGCTATAGCTGTGGTTAAACTGGGAGTGATTCCTTTTGTGAATTAAAATGAGATCTTGACAGCCTTGAGAGTGATTTGAGATTGTTCCCTGAGTTTTCAGTGTCTTTGTCCCTGGGGAGCTGTGTCAAGGTCTCCTGTGGTAACACAAATGCTATGTAATTCCATCCAGAGCATCCAGAGACCATGGGATGTTCCCAAACCTTGTGGATGTACTGCACGCTGTGGGAAGCAGGATGCCCAACATGACAGTAAGGTAGAAAGACGTGATTCTGCATAGGCAGAGTTTTGTGAAAGCTGGTGTGCAGGCGTGAGCCAGCAGTGCAGGCATCCATAAAGATTGGGATATGCATGTAAAACAGGTGCATGCTGTATCCATGTAGCCCTTCCATGTGGGTTTTCTGCATTTTTGCCCTTCATTTGTATCTGGCTGTGTCTCTGTGTACATCTGCAGACTCGCAGTTTGTGCATGTACCAAGGCACCACGGAAAGCCAGGGACGATTTTATTGGCACAGTTTCAGCCCTGTTTCATGTCTGAACTGAATCTTGCAGCTGGCACAGTTCAGTGAGGGTAGCTGGGGAGGCTGTGTGGGCCCTGCTGAGCTCACCTTACCTCATGGGGCAGTGGGGGAAACTGAGTGGGATGTCACAGCCTGGGTTCCTTCAAGTATTTCCTTCACATGCTTTGCAGGCAGAAGGGAAGGGCTGGAAGACCAGGCTTCTTGGGCAGCATTGTTTGCACAGAACTGGCTCCAAGGAGGAGGGTGCTTGGGCGGTAGGAGCTGCCTGTCAGTGCCATGAAGAAACCATGAATCTAGAGCTCAGTGGCTCCCTGGGTGTAATTTAGCATCATGGCTAGTTTCCTCATGTGGATGGATTCATCAAAAGGTCAGGAAAAGCTTAAAATAATAACCCAAACCATCCCAAACTCCCCCAAACCCCAGCACTGATGCACTGAACGTCTCTAAGCCTTCAGCTCCTGAGCCTCTGCTGAGCAGATATTTGTAAACCAGATTTGTGATGGGACCGTATGGGGACAGCACTTGGCTCGTGATCTCTCTGCTATGTGCTGAAAAAAATGCCACCAAATACCCTCCCCGAAACCCCAACATCCTTCCTCGCGGGGGTTAAATGCTCCCAGTGCTTCTCCTTCCTGGGATGGGACAGCCGGTACAGTTGCTGGGAAACAAATGCCACCTGAGGACACTTACTGGGAAGCAGCAGTGAAAAGCAGCTGCTGAGAAAAGCTGGCTTCAAGGCTTTAAAGGCATTTTAAGCAGTGTCCGGGTTTCTGGATGGGTAGAGGGACCCCTTCTTCACTATGACTGGTGGCGTGTGACACCAGGCAGGGCTGTGTGATGTTTCACATCAGCACATCGCAATACACAAACGCAAACGCTCGTGGTCAAAAGTTGAGTGGGGCAAGGTTGAAATGTTTAAACGTTTTCTGGAGTATGGGGCTTGCGGCTCAGAGGAGGAAGGTGCTTAGCCCCTGCCTTCACCCTGTCCAGCCTTCTGCCTTCCCAACAGGGGCAAGGAACGTAAGCCCCACCGTGCCCAGGGAATGCTGTGCTGCTTTTCTAGCTAGGGAAGTAACTTTTTTTTTTTTTTTTTTTTTTTTTTAAATGAAATAGGTTGTTTATTTCCTGCTGGGTGGGGAGACAAACCAATCAAAAAATGATCTTTGGCTTTCCTGAGAGTAAATTCCTGTGAGTTGACACTTTACTTTTATACCTTAAGACTTCTCTGTCCCTTTTCTGATTTGCTTAGGTAATTTATTTCCAGTTCAGCTTGTCAGATAATGATTCCTGAAAGGGCTGGTCACTTTAGTGAACCAGTCTTTGCAGGCAGCAAAATGGGTACTGGAGTTTGAGCTTTTCTAGATACTAGATGGATACGGATAGATCAGGCCCTACCCTCTTACTCTCGGAAAAAGCTTGAATGTGGGAAAAGTGCCCTCATCCTAGCTGTTGAAATGGAGAGCACAGAGTTGGTGAAAACTTTACTGGAGAAGGATGAAATGGATATTGATGATGCAGATGAGGAGGGCAACACAGCACTGATGGTGGCTGTAGAGAAAATACAGTGAAGGTGTTGTGTGAGAAAGGAGTAAGGACTGATGCTAGGAACCTTATCACAGTTGCTAACAGAAATTGCTCTAGTAGCATGGAAAATCTTCTCTGTGTGCATAATGCCACGTTTGTTCCTGAAACCCTCAGAGACTTGGAGCCAAAGAGCAAACCCTGGAGGGACCAGCTGAAAAAACTTAATCAAATATATCGCCCTATGATCGGCAAACTGAAGACATTTCATTACATCGAACAGAGAATTCAGGAAGGCATCTACCTCAGGCTCCATAGAGGGACAGAGGTAGCAGTAAAAGTAACCCTCAGTACAGCGGGTGATGAAGAGAAGAGGTTCTTTGAACAATGTTGCCACTGTGAACATCTACTGAAGCTCTTCCAGTCTAAGAAGGAAAAAGGCTGCATGTACTTGTGCTTCCCACTGTGGGAGAAAACCCTCCAAGAACATCTGCAGGACCCAGAAGACCAAAAGGATTACAAAGCTGCTCTGAAGATGATCTTCCAGGCACTGAGAGAGCTGTGCTCCCTTGGATTTGCTCACCAGGCTCTGCAGCCCAGGAACTTTGTAACAGGTTATCTTTTGCTTTCTTTATGTTTTCATTTTGCTTTCCCCCTGCCTGCAGTTAAGAGAAGATGTTTCATAGCTATCTGTAAAAATACAGATGGATTTATGCCAAATGGGGTGTCTGTGGCATTAGATCTCCTGCTGAATAACTATGTTCACAGATAGCCACTGAAGAGTGAAGAGAACAACCTGTCTCAGTAGCTCTGCCCTCCTCTCCAGGGCTGTCAAGACTGATCAGCCCATGACATATCAGCCCAAAAATCTCTTCAGAAAATTGTTTTCTAAAGGAAGGGCCATCCAGAAGTCAGTAGTGGACCATATCCAGTTTTTTCACCATTACTTGTTAACTATTTTTTTTATTTCCTCAGATTTAGGTGGCAAAATTTACTTGACAGACTTTGATAATAAAAGAAAGTTGACTGAAGGCCAAGAAGAACTTGTAAACTCAGATTTAGAGGTAAGTTCTCTGCAAATCAACCTGTTTTAAAATTTTGGGTTCTCTCTGGTATTTTCTGTTGCTGTGAGTCCTAGGCAAAGACTTTCTGTATCCGCAACTAGAAAACACCTTGATTTGTGGGAAAATCCATGTAATAATAGATGCTGCATAAGAATGATAGTGATTAGGATGCAAGACCGTGCCTGGTCCTGGGATGTCCACAGATCCTCTGAGAGGAAGGTTACCGTGCCCACCTCCTCTGTCCTTGTGTGCACAGCTTCCATGTTTGTGTTGGTGTGTATTTGCATACTTCTAGGCACCTACAGGGCTTAGGAATACTAGTCCCCTCCCATTTGGTAGGAAGTTCCATGCACCTGGCACATGAACAGTGATGTGTCTCTTTGCAGACCCTCAGCAGGCTCATGCTGTACGTTTTAGTAGGGGGTGCGAAACCCCTTCAGCAAGTCCAAATCGAGGATTTGGATGCTAAATCCCTGGATTACATGGAGGCTCTGAACCTCATGATGAACGAGGCTTGGAAGGTTTGAGCAAAGGGAAAGCTTTCGGTACGGGAACTGGCTGCAGTGCTCAGAAAAGGCATGTCCTACTGCAGCTAACAAAACTTCTCATTCCACAGCAGGTTCAACTTCCTGAAGTTGATATGGAATCAAATCAAAGATATCAAAAACTGAGAAGCTATTTTTCAAGATCCTAATGTTACTGAAATTTGTCCTTATCCAGAGTGGACCAAGCAGGTAATCCTCTTCTCTTTGGACTGATACGAGGTTTGAGTTACAGACATTCAGGCAGAAGCTTCTCCCAGGTGCTCCATAGGCTCTGTTTAAAAATGTAACTGAGAAAATAGCCCCACACAAATACAGACAACTGGGGGAAACAATTAAATCTAAGGGACATAGTCGCAAGACACTGATGCTTAAGGGAGCTCTGTGGACTGGGGTGGTAGAAGTGGGTGGTCATTATAGATTAGCTGATAAACCTTCAAAAGTTTTGGGGTTTTTGGTGATCACTTAAGAACCTCTGTTCCTAGTTGCCAGCAAGTTTCTGACAAAAGTGTTTTGTTGATTGTCTCAAAGGCAGCCAGACCAGGCCTGCTTTTGCAGGTAACATTGTGCTGCATCCTTTGCGACCTGACAGTCTCAGTTCAGTGCAGCAGCCCACGTGGTCCTCAGTGGCACACGTGGATCAAGACTCTTGAGTCCCTCCTGCCCTCCAGGCAAGCATGAAAATCTCCTGTGCCATGTTGACAGTCCTAATAGAAATGCCACACCTTGGGAAAGTGGGAGAGGAAACCCTTAGTGGAATAAGGAGGCTGAATGGTGCATTCCTTGCAGAGTGGACTCTTCTGCTCATGTTGGGAAACATGCTTTTAAGGGTCAGGAGATTTTTCCCATTCAAGATTATGTCCCTGCAGAAAGGCAGCGGTGGTAGATGTGCTGCTGTGGTGTGTGAAAGGTAGAGAATAATCTATGTCCTTTCTTTCAGATTGACAAATATATTCTAGATGTAATGGAAAATCCTGACAATTCGAAATCATTCAAACCTAGAAAACATAGCAATTGTGGCAAAAAATCCTTCAAATACACCAATGATGTCACTGACCTATTGAGGCTCATCGGAAACCTGGATGAACACAAAGATGAAGGGTACATGTTCTCATCCTTGCCCCTGCTACAGTTGCATAGAATCACAGAATATCCTGAACTGGAAGTGATCTACAAGGATCATAGAGTCCAACTCCTGACCCTGCACAGAATACCCCAACAATCCCATCATGTGCCTGAGAGCCTTGTCCAAACACTTAGTGAGTTCTGTCAAGTTTGTTGGCTGTGACCACTGCCCCGGGGGAGCCTCTTCCAGTGCCCAAACACCCCCTAGGTAAAGAACCTTCTCCTAATATCCAACTTAAACCTTCCCTGACACAGCACCATGCAGTTCTCTCAGGTCCTGTCACTGGTCACAGTGAGCAGAGAATGGTACCTGCCCCTCTGCTTCCCTTTGTGAGGAAGCTACAGACCCTGATGAGGTTTCCCTCAAGTCTCCTCTTTTCCAGACTCACAAACCCATTGATCCTCAACCCTCTGTAGTCATGGGCACTAATATGTGAGGTTAGAGGGGGTGTTAGCTCCTAGTGATGGTTTTACTGAGGATGATGGTCTTCAGTGCCCTTCAGTGAAGATGCAGGTGGGATTAGGTAGATGGAGGTGCTAGAGGAAAAAAAAAAGAAAAGATACTGAGGAGTTTAGGTTAGGTATAGAACAGTCACAGCTCTGGTATTTCTAGGAAACCTTCTTGTGTTATCAGAAAGCCTCTGGAATGGCATTTTCCCTGCAAGGGAGGAAGCAGGGCATCCTGGGCTATTGACTCCTTGGACAAGCTTTAAAAATCCTTATTGATTTTGTTCTCTTTCAGGATCAGTGACAAAATAGGAGGCTGTGCTGAGTATTTCCTGAAGACTTTTCCAGCACCTACCATTTAGGTCTACAACAGTTTATGCCAGAATCCCACATACCGTCACCTTGCAGACATCCAGGACCCTTCTCTGTGGGATGTCATTGCCTCCTGTCCCATGCCTGATCCCATCGTCACTGCCTCCTTTTATTCCTTATTTATTCATCTGAAAAAGAGTTGAAGAAGTGGGTAAGGAGATGGGAGAGAGCACATGCAGGGACAGAGTATGGAGGACTTAAACTAAGAAATGAAAGATGCTTCAGAAATGTTTGGTGTAACAACCATGACCTTCAGAGAGGAACCAAAGTGAGTGCCAGCCCAGGTTCCCCTTGATGACCTACCTCTGTCCCTCTTGGTTTCTCTGCCTTTGAGATGTGGAGATCCAGGCCCTGACCCTTATGGAGAATGGGGAGATGTGGGACAGCCCCTGGGATACCTGACACATTTGGGAGGCAGGAGCTTAGCATTATCAGACAACATGGGACACTCTGTTAAAGAAAAAGGAATCTGAGCTCCTTGCAAGAGCCAATCTTCCCTGTAGCTTGCACTGAGGAACTGCTCATCTACCTCTAGAAAGACATGGATTCTTTTTGGTCTTTTGAAAACACAGCAGCCAGAAAAATGCTATGTCTGGCTCCAGGGTTGCCCTTGGCCATCATCCCTCTGATCTGGTAGAGGCACTCTCTGTCCAGCCTACTGGGACCTGAAGGACTTCCATTTGCAGAATGCAGGAGATGCTTCCACAAGGAACAGATGTAATGAGCACGATCCCACAAAACTCTGCTACTGAGAGTAGTCCTGACCCACCTGAAAGTGGTCATTGACATCAAAGGGGGCTAGAGGGACCTTTTCCTCCTAGAAAGGACAGGCTCTGCCATGGCAGGGCTGTGTACAAGCACTCCCTGTCTCCAAAACAGTTGATGTGTCACTGTCCTCCTGCCAGACTCATCTCCCTTGCACAGAACTGGCGTCCATGCAGCGAGCTTGGAGCTTTGATATTGGCAGCAGGGTGGCACAAACCCCTTTCCGAGATTTCCACAGTATGTCACGTGTGCCTGGTTGTCCACGGGCTTGCTTGTTTCTCTCCTAATGTTCTGACTTGCATGATGATTATATGTTGCTTATGGAAATATTTTTCAGCTGTTGAAAAGATTTTTGTTGTGGCCTTTTTTTCCTGTTTGGTTGGTTGGTTGGTTTTTCCAAACTGAGACTGTTATTCTTTCAATTAGCCTATGGGGAAACACTTGAAATAAACTTACCTGGAAAACTGACTCTTCACTCATTTAGGAATGAGGTTCTCCCATCCTCCCTGCATAGAAAGAGATACCCTGCGGCACTGAGAAACTCCCATCTGCATCAGGGGTCCTGGCTCAGAGCAAAGCTCCTTCTGATGGTCCTGAGAACCTTTTAAATACATAATAGAAGCTTGACTATGCAACTGTAGATGAGATGGTAGTAGAGAAAATGCATCCAAGAGAATGCTGACTCCTTTTGTGTCAATATTTTACACTTTTTCCTTTCCTTCCTGCCCTTTTTTTGCTGCAGGCATACAAGCGAGTGGGAAAGAACAACACATCTACAAGATGCAAGTTCGAATCCACTTTATTATTATTAGGCTGTACAATTTATATTCTTCTGAGTTCTGTTCACGCAAACACGAGCACAGCATGCCATCACGATTGGTCAGCACGCACTGTCCACGCGCCTCAGGTAATCCACCGATTTGTGGTTTTGAAGCCCACATTTGCATACGGTTTCTGTTATCGCTGTTTTTCTCATTCTACTCTTGCTGACTCCTGCATTCTTGTAGCAGCAGGCCGTTTCTTGTTTATCTTACTGTTACCTCTTGACCTCTTCAGAACTCAGTATAGTCATGTAAAATTGCTAAGGCCCCAACATTTTTTTCTTGCTCATTGTGTCTGTCTCATGCCCAGAAGGCAGGAGAACACCGAGATGTGTGCCCAGGTCTCAGCAGTGTGGGGAGTAGGAGTGCTGTGGGGAGCACTGTGGCCTTCTGCCACAGCAGCATTTCTGCTCTTGCATGAGGAGAGGTGAGGCCATGGGCTGGGCTCCTTCAGTCTCTTGTAAAATGCCACATTTCCAGCTTCCTTTGACCTTTGCATCTTCTTCCATCATTCTTCTGTTTCACTAAAGGGCTGTGACTCGGTAGCCTTAAAAGGCATGCCTGAATAAGAGCAATCATTGAATCTGAGGAGGCTGGGACTTATCTCACTGGGGCAATCTGGCTGTTGGGAAGATTTCCAGAGAAGGCTTGTGTCCTGCTTTCCAAGAAACTAGAGGTACCAACAGGCTGGTGTCAAAGAAAAAACGTGATCCATGCACAGCATCTGCAAAGTAGATTGCTCACAGAGACCATGGGAGGAGGAGGGGATACAGGAGACTGGGAGCAGGACTGGGGAAAACACCATGCTGCCTCTCCCAGGAGGATGGTCAAGTGCCTGGTAAAAGCAGGCCAGGCAGGATGGAAAACCTGTGGCAAGGGCAGTTGGGTAGTATTGCAGCTGGGTGGTGTGGCAGTGTCTGAGGGTACAGTTTGGGGGAGGAGGTATCCTGAGGAGTTGGGGGCAGAGCCAGCTGCCAAAACTGTCGGCTGTGCCAGTGGTTCCCAGCATCAGTGCCCCTCTGGGAGGTGCTGTCTGCCTCGGTCTCATAGAGGAAGGCTTGCAGGCCATGGATGGTGCCCAAGGACATTCTGATTTGGCCCCACACACGTCACTGCCCTCTTGTCATGCCTGTACATTGTGTATTTGCTGTGCCTCTGTCTTTTTCCTCTGCTCCTGTTGGGTGACCCCTGGGATAGCAGGCTCAGCCCAATGTGATGGGATCAGGTGCTCCCCATCCCAGCACTTGTGTGCTGAGGACATGCTTGTGTGCATAGGGATGCTCTCAGGTCACTGTGGCCCATCTGCTGTGCGGAAAAACAAAACCACAAACAGTCCACAGAAGCAGTGGAGTGCGGATTGCTCTTAGCTGTTGTTTTGCTGTGTTGAGTTTCAGGCACATCTGTGAAGCCTTTGAGGGACTGGGCTCAGCTGGGCTCAGGAATATTAGTGCAAAGCTCACAAAAATGCAGGAAGCTTTTGGGACTGAAAGCTTCTGGGGCAAAGTCAACTTACAGCACAAGGAAAATTTTGAGGAGCTGGTCATGTTTCATGTTGTAGGAGTGCCATCAGCTTCCCAAGCCCTTCATTTAAATAAATGTTCCTGGACTTTGTATTTGCTTGGGTATTTTTGATCCTCCAGAAGTGTTGATAATCATAATTCACAAATATTAAATGTGCTGTCATCTGCCTTAAATGTACCTTTGTTATTCATAGGATGCAGTTTTCTAGGATCAGAGAGATTAAAAAGTTGTTAAGAATAGCTCAAAATTACAAAGCTGAGAGCTTGCTTCTGACAGAGTCAAACTCTGATAAAGGTAGTGATCTTTTCTTCATGAGGTCCAAAAGAAATGTCTGCAACTTCCTGCTGACTTGGCAAAGCCACTCTGACTCAGTTTCACCTGGGGAAAATGAAGGCCTTTGATATGATTTGGTTAATGTTTGGTAAACAAAATGGCTTTAAAAAACAACTAAAAAAAAAATTAAAAAAAAGCATGCTGAAGATCCTGTCAGGCATGAGCTGATTTTGACTGGAAAATCAGAAAAGCTCTGGCAAGAGGGGCACCATCTCATCACACAGAGACAGGTGGACTCTCTCAGCCTCGCCACCACAGGAAGTACTTGATTTGTGTGGAAGGTGGGGAGAGGTGAGGAGCTGAGATACATTTTACAGATATATGTGAGGAAGGAGATTTGTGTGGATGAGGGTGTCTCCTGGGCTAGAAGCACATGTCGTGGCATGTCCCTGTCATGGTTGCAGAGCTGCAGGTTGCTGTGCTATGTTACGAGGTAAGCTGGAGGATCTTGTGAGTTGCTTTATTTCTAGGTCTTACTGCTGATTAAGTGCAAACTACTCAGAGTGACCAGGCTGCTCAGATTCCTTGGATCACACCCTGGTCCCACTCCCTGTGGGAGGGGTGTTGTTCTAGACAGGGCTGTCCTTTCCTTGGTGCCTGCACGGAAGAGAGAGATGTTGCATCAGTGGCTGCTGCTGCTGGAGGCAGGGTGAGGGTGATCAGGGATAAGCACACAGTTGTGTGCTCCTGGGGAGGAGTTTAGGGCATGGAGAGGTGCAGCAGCTGAGAGTTTTCTGTAAATATTACTGGAGATGGTGGGGTTGACCAGCATCCTGCACGAACCTTTGGGTTTTAAGAGAAGTTGTAGCTTGTGCTACTATGGTTTGGGGCACGTAGAACACCTCTGTGACCACCTACCTGCTCACTTGCTGAGGTAAGGCCTCTTCTCAAGGTTTTTATCTTTATCTGAGAAAAACAACACACACAAACTCCCTATCATGGACTAATGCATGAGGCCCTAAAACCCATCTCCCATCCCAGCAGCTGGAGCTCCCCTCAGGAGCAGGAGCGCTCCTTTCAGCACTGGCTCACCTTCTTGCTCCTGCAAAGGCTCAGTTTTCTTCTGGGGCTGTGGCATCAGTATCTGGAGGCCTTCAGAGAGTGAGAAGACAAGGACAGGGCTTTTCCCTGGTGGGAGATAAGAGATGGAGTGGTTACTGTGCAGCAAGTGCTCCAATGGCAAAGGAGGGAGGACCGCAGTGTTGTCCTCCTCAAAACACATGGGCCTCGTCCAGAGCGCAAGGAAGGGTGGTTGAGTGAGGATTTGAGTTACCCAAAACCACAAAACAGTTTGGGGGCTGCAGGATGGGGGTGTTATGGATCTGTGGGAAGGCTGGGGGGTCCTTTGTGGCAGATGCGGGAGGAAATGGAATATGGAGACACGGTGGAGGTGTGTCCCGGTTTTCTGGCTGCCTGGGCAGCATCTCTGTGCTGACGGCCGTGAACGGGTCAGACAGCGTGCTCAGTCCCACAGGTCCGTCCCTGCACTGAGCACAGGCACAGACAGTGCCACAGTGACGCCTGGTGATGGGAGGTGGATCCCTGCCGGCCACCTCTCAGCCCTGCACACGCCGCGTCTGCACAACCCTTCAGAATGAGGGGAAAGCAAGGTGTGGACAACAGCAGGTTTCCTCTGGAGTTACACGTATTTTCCCCAGCAGTTTTGGTGCTTTTTAAAGGCAACAATTTTTTTTTTTCCCAGCTGAAAAGCAAGCTTTTAATCTAAAGGTCAGAAAAGCAAGACCCTTAGATAAAGGTCATTGGTGAGAGAATGAGAACGCACAGAAAAGTGACTCAAGCAAAAGGTGGCCTGGACATTAGCACAGTCAGAAACAGCAGCTAATTTAGGTCACACATCTATTCCCAAGACACGCCACCCAAGCTGCGGGATTTTTTTTCTGCCTGGCTTCTGTTATTCATCCCTGTGAGATGCTACAAGGAGCTGTGGCTTGGGAACAGTTGTCCCAGGAACAGTCCCTGAAGGATTAATGTCCACGTGAAAGAGATCTACGTGTCCAGAGCAACCCAAAACATTCACTCTGTGTGGTTCTGGGTAGTTAAACATGGGCTGCGCTGGTTGGGCAGCAGTGGGACACTCCTAACCCTTTCAACAGCTTGTACTGATTTAATCAAACAATAATTTGTCTTGGAAGGGACCTTTAAAGGCCATCTAGTCCAATCCCCTGCCAAAAGCATGGACACCTTCCACTAGATCAGGTCAATCAAAGCCCCATCCAACCTGACTCTGAATGTCTCCAGCGACAAGGGCAGCCACAGCTTCTCTGGGCAACCTGTGCCAGTGTTTTACCACCCTCTAGTGTAAAAAATACATCTAATCTAAATTAACGCTCTTTTAGTTTAAATGTGTCTCTCTCCCCTCCAGTTCCCTGAAGCTCCAGGGAAACGTGTCCTTGAAAAAACGTTGGTTAGTTTTTTTTTTTCTTTTTTGTTTGTTTGTTTGTGGGTTTGTTTCTGGTTTTGGTTTTTTTTGTTGTTTTGTTTTCTTTTTTTTTTTTGTGACAGTAGACTTTTGCATTAAGACAACCATGTCTGAGGAGGTCCTTGAAGTGCAGTGAAGCTCTGTAACAAGGTGGAGACCCAAGATGGATGCTACCATAACCATGCGAATACCAGTGGTGTGAGGTGGTTTGAGTTAATAGACATTGTGCCTGGCAGTCCTGGAACACAGGGGTCTGTTACCCCAGCCTGGCTGCAGAGCAGTAGCTCAAGCACCTGCCTGTAGGTATCAAAATCCTCCAACTCTGCTGCTTTTTAACCAGAACTTGACAGTGA